AAATAACATAAAAATAACTATGTATCACTCATAAACTATATAGTATATTATATTGTCACTTTATTTTAACTAACAAAACTCTACAATGGTTTAAAAACAAGCCAATAAAAAAACATAAAGCACTATTAATATTAAAATCCTAAATTGATTAAATTAAATAAAAATTTTATATTGAATCCTTATTTAATTTTTTATAGGTTATTTTTTGCTATTATCTTACGTTATTTTTACTCATTTGAACCAATACTGAGCATATTAAAAAAAAGATTTATTAAAAATATAATTTATAAATTTTTATCTATATATGTATTGTTCATTTGCGTACTATGACAGTCACATATAATTGAAAAGAACTTTTAAAAAGTAAAAAAAAAAAAAATTCATAATAATATAATATAATGTAAGTGAATTTTTTTAATAATTATTTTTTAAAGATTTATATATATTTATCCTAATTATTACTTATTATGTTTTGAAAAATAATTCAATTGAGTCCTTAATTTTTTATTAAATACAATTAAAAATTATATTATATGGTCCAAATTAAACAAATTAATTTAATTATATTCATAAAAAATTTATATAAAATTATATGAAAATCAAACATGTTTATTTTATAGACATTTAAATTTATTTATTTATAAATAATTTTAAAAAATATATTAAAAAATAGAAACAAATGTTATAAAACACGTATCAAGAAACTATTTGTAGGTAAACACTGGTGTGAGGAAATGTTTGAAGTTTTTATTTTTTAAAAAATTAATGCTTACAATATCTGTACACGATCTCGAAAAATCTTTTTTTTTTTTTAACATTACCCGTTAAGTAAAAGTACACCATCCATATGTTTGCCACGTACGCCACCTAAGCCTAATACGACACAATAAATACCAAAGGACACAGTGATCTTATGTTGACACGTCAACTGGTTAGCATTGAGATTGTCAATGCATTTTTTTTAAAGAAGAGATTACCAATGTTAATTAAAAAATAACGAGCATTTAATTACAAACTATATATTTCATGATGGAAAACCATGCATCTCGAAAATGAATCTTTCATTAGCACGACGCTAGCTCATTTAATGAATGCATTGGAGATCTCATGTTTTTTCCTTTCAACGTGGTGAAGATGTCTGTTTTTCCTCGTAAATTATTTGTCTCAAACTTTGAAAAAACAGAGAATCCAAACAAAGTTCTTACCCACGCATTACCATGGTCTTAATTACTCTCATCTTTCCTCTAGTGCTTAGGGTTCATAAAGAATATGTAATAGTGGTTCTTTATCTGGGCACTCAGTTTCACTGTTTTGGGCAATTCCCAATTACAGGCTTGAGAATTTGACCGAGTTTAAAAATTAAGAGAACAGAGCGCGCACCAAATTAAGCTTATAATTATAGGAATAGGACGATGATTAAAAAAATCATTTTATATATCAAAAGTATATTAATATAATTTAATTAAATATTCCTCAGTTTTTATTTTTTTAATTTTATCCATATATTTCTATATTTTATATTTAAAGATAAAACTAATTATATTCAAACGGAATTAATAAAAATTTTTTTTAATAAATAAGATTTTCAAATTCAAACTTTATACATGAATAAAAAATTTATTTGAAAAACAATTCACTTACCATCCGTTGGTTTTTCAGTTTTTATTTTATATCTTGCAAACTAAGCTAGCTCATATTTTCCGTAGCATATTGGTGAGTAGTGTTCTATTTTGCGAAATCAGTCTGACTAACATTGGCGAAGTAGAACTTGTCTTGTCTTGCCCTGTCAGTAGGGAGAAACTCGTCTTTGGAATAACATGGGAAATTCATTTTATGTACAAGGGTGCCCAAGTTATAACTATATCTCAATTCGAGTAAAATTTTCTTGTCCGTATCTTAATGCAAATGCATTTATTACAAGAGACGCATTTATTACAAGAGACCAACATACAATGAAAGGAGAGCTGTTTTATTTTGGAAGACAAGAAAAGAAGTTTGGAATCATGTGAGGGACAATAAATGCAAGGGTTGGGTAATTGTAGGACTTAGGGTTCTACAACACTCATACAAGTTTCAATATTAATCTCCCTCGAACTGGGTTTCATTTCAATATTAAGAAAACAAGTGTGGAATCATGTCAGGTGTCATTAAATTCTTGGTGGGGTGTGTTTTCTTTGATTTCAATTATCATCGATATTAAAATATATATGAATTCTGCCTAGAGCAGCCAGTTTAATCATATCCAGCTAAGCAGCTTGGATGCTTCATGTGTGATCATAACTCCAAAGCTTAGGCTTAATGATACAAGAACTGTTAGAAAATATCATGACTAGCATAATAACAGACTAGTTATCATCACTTGAATTATGTGATCGTACAATTTTTCCATGTGGGGGTGACTCTTCTAGCAAAGAAGACACACCATGACGTGACAGCTAACCCTGGGCAGCACATGCAAAAGGCAACGTTCGCTTCACCTCACCTATAGCTTATAGATACGCAAACGTGCCATTAAGCTCATCAATGCCAGGATTAAATAAAATTATCTTATAGTTTTCGTTTTTGAGAAAACTTAATCTTACATATTTACTCCAAACTATATATGATTTAGAGAAAGGTGAAACGAAGATAAAATGCACTTTTTTTTGTTTGTTGAATGCTTTAAATTAGATAAATTAGAAGCAAAGTTTCTATTAATTAAGTTCACAACACTGTTTAGATCTACAAAAAAAAAAAAATTAAAATCACAGCACTAATCCCTTTAATTAGGAGTTATCACCATCATCCTATATATGCTAACTGCATTTAGTACTCTGTAATTAAATTATGACAATTGTCAGAATTCTCACGAACTAGCACAGATTAATTACCCAGACGCGACTGCTAAACTTCCTATATCTATAGCATTAGCAAATTGCAATTGTTTTATATGATCCTATGGAATTCCAAGTTGACGCTTGCAGCTGGTCACGAGACCACTCTCCGGTCACCCACTAACAATTTTTAAAAAGAAAATGAGTGTGGAAGAAACTACCAGCAGCCATGGTCAAAATTGCTGATTTTCTTATAATACCTCAAATTATTTGATATGAAGGATCTAATATATGACTTTAATTTCTTAATTTAATTCTACGGTCACTTTAACCAACAAGGGACACAAGTTTCCCTACTATATTCCTAAAATTGTTTTACTAGTATTTTATTCGATAACACAATTAGTTCTTGCAATTAAATGATATATATATATATATATTCCTGTGACTGCATACGTAGCGGAGAGAGTTTTTTTCCCCTCTTTCTATCGAGAGAGAGAGAGTTGATGTAAATTTAATGATTACGTATTTTAGCTATTTAGGTCAAACCAAAGCATGTGTGTGCTTACCCGTGAATATTTGTGTCTAAACAAACATTCCGTAGAGCATCCTCTCCTCTCTCGTGTTCTTGGCTAGGGTTTCACATAACAAGACAAGATAATTACTATGAGATTTGGAGAATGCAGGTATGCAAAATCTGCTTCTATACTTGTCATAAAAGTACACGATTCCTATCCTATCCTTAGATTCAAAAGACAAAATCTTAATCAGTTGTCCAACGGGTACACATTTATAGCACTATCCGTGTGGAAGGAAGAGTCAATTATAAATAGAGGACAACGTGAAAACCTTAAACCTTGCATACCACAATTTTGGCGGCGGCGATCATCTAGAACTGTTGGTACCTCTACCGTTTTCCTAGTTTAGTAGGCGCACGCACACTTGTTTTGCTTATTAATTAGGGGCAATGATTACCCAAAAATTAATTGATACTTTGTGTATAAAGTTTCTGGATTAAAACAAGATTCAAGATTTTGCTTCATGCGTAGAGATGTTGGTCTTTTGTTGTAATACGGGTGATTTCCATTTTATACTGCGAACCCGATCATCACCTTCTTCTAATAAGAAATTTGAATGACTCATTTCATGCTTTTCCAAAAAGCAAAATAATTTTCCCAATATTGAAAATATATAAAGCAAACATATTTCATTTGGTAATTTATTATCTTTTGTAATTGATAAAGCTTCAATTCTCTTTGTTTGTGTTTGAAAATGTTTGTCAAAATGCCTTTCAACCATAAGCATCTTTTCAAAAGTGTTTTCAAATAATTTTGATGTATAGATATTTAAAAAAATGACAAATACTTAAAAAACTTTAATTTAGTACAATTTCAATTGAAAATATTTTTGCAAGAACATCATACAGCATTAAAAAATACACACAAAGATTAAAAATGTGAAGAATGGTACTGTTACAACTATTTTTTGTGTTGGACAGGCCATTAGCCCAAAAAAAAAAAAATTGTAATTTTATTTTTTTATGCATAATTTTTTGTTATAATTTTATTTTATTTTTTATCAATAAAAATAAAATAAAATTATAACCATTTAATGACTGATGGTCCATCCACCACAAAGCACTGAGGGAAAAAAAGGCTCATCGTACCTAGCTAGCTAATTAATCTAAAACAAAATCATACTAAAAAAAATAATTAAGATTACCTCGATGGATTTTCGGTTCATGGCCTAAGAATTGAATATTCAAGTACGTATCCCTCCTCCTCAAATTAAATGATCAAAAACTAGATTTGAATCTGTTTAATTATTTGATTACTAAAATACCCTAGGAACAGTCTGAAATGGCACATAAACATGTAAAATAATGTGCATATTTGGTTTCAATCTCCTTGGGAAAAAAAAAAAAAAAAGTGCAAGTATTAGCTCCCTTGTCTCGTCTGATGTCATCATAATTAATTAGAAGTACTACCAAGTTCAATTTTTAAATCACTAATGTCCCTAAACAGTTCGTGAGATCGATCTATTGTACACGTTCCAAGCCATTATAAATGTACTCCCTCCAACCTCATTCTCTCCCAAGACTTCTAGTCATCTACTCTTAGGTTTGCTTCCTCTTTTCCCTCTTCAAAGTTCACAGACTTATTATTATTTTTTTGTTTCACAAACAAAATGGGTGGAAATTCACCGTGCGCTTCTTGCAAGTTGCTTAGACGCCGATGTGCAAAGGACTGTATTTTTGCTCCTTACTTCCCTTCTGATGATCCACACAAGTTTGCCATTGTCCACAAAGTCTTTGGCGCTAGCAATGTTAGCAAAATGTTGCAGGTTCTTCTTTTCTCTCTCTTTTTTAAGTTCTAATCATAGGTACATATTTATATGTTTATATATGTACGTATACATGTCATATGTATGCTAGAATGAGAGGTTTTCTTTCGGTAGGAAAATGTCAATAAAGATAGCTTGGTTGTGTGGCCTACCAGTTGGACCAGAAAAGAAAGCTGTTTCTCACACACAAGCATAATAATGCTTTTGAGATGGATGTATGTGGTTATCTTTATTAATTAGACATTAACATTATCTTTTATGCCTAAGCAGGAGCTACCAGTTCATCAGAGAGCGGATGCAGTGAGCAGTTTGGTGTATGAAGCGAATGCGAGAGTGCGAGACCCAGTTTACGGGTGTGTTGGAGCCATATCGTACCTGCAAAACCAGGTTTCCCATCTACAAATGGAGCTTGCAGTGGCTCAAGCAGAGATATTATGCATCCAGATGCAGCATGAACCTGTGATGGCAACCCCACAGATGAACCCAGACGATCACATTCATGACAAGTCATTCCTTCTCCAAAATAGCCTCCCTCAGTACCTGAATTTTGGCTCCTCAAGCAATGTAATTCACGACTCTCTCAAGAGAGAGAGCATTTTCGGAGAGACATGATTTCTTAATTAATTAATATTAGAATTTGATGCTAGCTTTAATCCCTTATTGCTCACTTTCTGTTCACAAAGTAATATAATTTGAGAAAGAAGGGTTGTCTTTACTTGATGTTAGTTTACAGAAAAAGCTCTATAAATAAATTAATAATACTGCAACCCAGTAGTATAGTTTGTCTTAAAACAATATTATTAGTGACTTGATGAGGTCAACTCTTGCATGTGACAAGTGAAGTAAACTTAAATTTTATTTTGGGTTAAGTAACCTATTAAACAAGCTAGCGGTCGGTGGCCTCTCAAACAATCCAGACATAAATTCTTGTAACCTATTTACTGTTTACAATAATATAAATACAAGGCTCTCTCTTACAATTGATCAGAGATAATAAAAAAACCGTACACAATGAAGGTTTAAATTTTAAAATCTTATTTGTTGAGAAGAGTTGGACTTCATTATTTTTGTTCTGAAAAAATCAGTTTTATTTTTAATATGGAACACATAAAGAGGTAAAAAAAGGGGGGAAAAAAACGCAGGCAGTGAAGGAAATTTCAATGGACCTCACTACTACACAACCAAAACGTCATCATCAATATTCTAACAAGGTATGATTTGTACGAACAGCAATGTTCTGTCAAAAGCAAGGACCATTTTTAACAAGTTATGGCCCGATTGAAGTGGAAGATTCGGAGAGAGTTTACAAATAGTTTTAACCTTGTGTATTTTTGTATGAGGTGGCTGCTTCGGCTTTGAATAGTGAAACCGATAGCAAGCCCAAAACTTTTACTATACGTTGCATTTAGCACTGCCCTCTGCAGAACATGAACGAAATTTAATTTTTTTGCGCCTAAAATAGCTGTGAAATTAAGTGGTAATCCTATATGAGGAAAGATGGATTATGCATGTAACCCTAATTAATTCTCTAATGTTTTGTTCGGTGTACAAGCACATATATATACTTCGGTTTAAATATTGCTAATATTATTAATCACTGGCTGATCACCAAATTTAGTACTGTGAAGAAGTGCAAAAAAGAACAAAATTGGACTACTTGCCACGCGTCTAATCGGATCACAGATTCTTCTACCAAGTTCACGTGGAGGGCAGTGCAAGGAAGTGCTCAGTTCATGGGAAGTATCCAAGAGGGGCTGATTTTCGTTTTTGTTTTGAGCTAGCTTTTAATAATATGTGTTTGTTGGTCCATCTCTTCACACAATTATATGTCGAATCAAATATATAATTTAAATGGTGAAGAACAAAAGACAAAAGGCAACAACTGACTCAAAAGATTCCTCAATAGCTTTGTTTAATGCAGAAGCATTTTGGAGCAGGTCAAACTTCCCATTTATATGCCCTATCAAATCCTCCACTCTTACTAGCCCTTTTGTAGCAACTTGTAGTTTTAAAGGTCATTTGCGCCTACGGCTGTAAATTAATTAGGGACAAGTTCTATGACTCTTCCAAAAGTTTCCACTGAGATTTCAATGCACCCAGATGTTTTGGATTATTGTGTACATAGAAGCAGAATTGTATAAAATATAAAACTCCTCTCATCTATCTATGTTTTTTCTAGCCATAAATATATACTTGCTTTCACTGAACTTGAAAATTATGTTTCCATGAAAAAGTTTTTACTCTTGAAAGGGTAAAGATATACTACAAATTAAAGATGCTAAAATCAGTAGGGTCCTGAAGATAGAGGAAAGGAACGTATATATATATATATATATATGTACGCTGGAAGTTCTCTAGTTGTCAGTTACGACGATACGTATGTCTCATTAATTTTTCTTTCCTACTTTTCTTCATAAAGTAGAACATTATTGTCAAGCAAAACAACAAATGTATACCGGCAATTATTTGTGCATAGAATTTCAATGTACATTATGAAGCTGGGTCATCAGTTTGACAGTCTCTAGAACTTTGATCAAAGCAGGGAGAAGAGAACAATGGCTGCAACACTCTCCAACTTTTTCTTACCCGAAAAAGCTTCAGAATATATTTATTTGCCCCAGTCCTTGTTTGACTAGCAGTCAGTTTGTTAGACACAGGACCGAAGCTAAGGAAAGAAAAAAACAAAATTGTGCCCATAGGATACAAATCTGGAACAAATGAGAAATATAATTATTATTTAATTATATTTTACTAGTTCAGAGATAATTAATGAAGCCCCCCAGTCCATTTTGTAATTTTCCTTTGTCTTTCTTTGTGAGAATAGTGTGTTGTACTGTCGACTTGATCAGCATGAAAGGAAAGGAACAGAGAGATGATAAGTATTGGACTAATTTAATCCTTGTATTAGCCACTAGGATATGAGATTGTGGTAAAACACGTTTAAAGTCCTTATACCCAGTGAGCATGTTGTGCCTGTGGGGTCAGACAGCGCAGGGTCCTACCGCAGCATATGTGGTGCAATGAATAGAAAATTCGGTGAGGAAGATTGTAAATCGGACGTGTTTAATCTTTAATTTTTCTTTTCAGGAAGCGGAGAGGTTGGCTAGAAATATTTTCATATTGGCAGAGAACTATAAAAATTATATTATAGATTCTTATCTAATAATTTAAAATTTAAAATTAAGATAATTTTTTAATATAAAATTAAAGTTCGATGATAAATAATCAAAAGTTAAAATTTTACTATCGTTACTTTCTGTTCTAATTAAATATGAGATAATATGATTCTTTATAAATTTCAAACCTAAAATTTTTTTATTTGAAATGATATGTTCTAAAATTTTATAAATTATATTTTATATTTTTATGTAAAAGATTAATTTTTTAGATTGAGATAATTTTTTTATATATGTTACACTATTGTGAAGTATTTGTTTTAGCTTTTTTTTTTATATATATATATATATATATATATATATATAATGGACCTGAAGATCGGCTACTGATTTGTCTAGTCTGGTCCATTTTGACTAAGTTGCCCTAAGGAGAAAAAGAAAGATACAGGAATTAGAGAAAACTTTTGAACAGAAGGTATGCTTCTACATTGGTTCATGATGACAGGGAGGATAATCCCGTATCTTCTGGATAAAAAAATGTTGCATTTTGGCAGTTAAAATAGCTGTCACTTTTTTAACCAAAAAAATACTTGTACTTTTCAGCTAAATGACGCAGCAAGCTTTTGTGAGAGTTGTTATTGACTAGTGGACTAGGAGAGGAAATCGGATGAGTTCGCACCCTATTCTAAACATAAAATAAAATTACTATGTAACTAAAAACAGATGGGCGATGAACAGTAAAAATTACTGTTCATCTCTTCTTAAATCATTATCTATTGAACATGCTCATGATGTATAAAAAATAATAACATTAGAGTTATTGATTTTATTATAAATCAACTATACATCTATGCACACAATACCAACTATTTACCATTATTTTTTTTAATATTTAAAATGATTTTTTTCAAATAAAATAATTTAAATAATATTTTAGAATAACCGCCTAATAATTCAAATACAATTTTGTATACTAATATTATTCATTATTTTGTAAATAAATATATATAAATCAAATGTATATATTTAAAAAAATAATCTTCTCATCGGTAAAAAAAGTTTCATTTATTAATTTTCATATAAGTTTTTATATTAATTATTGCTTTATTTCTTAGATGCAATGTAATGAAAAAAATATTAAGATGTTTTTTTAAAAAACAATTTATATTAAAAATTTGTTTATCATGGGTTTTTATTTAAGAATAAATGCATAAAAAAAACAAGTCATATTTTTTTGATTTCACAATTTATTCAAAACACACACACATATATATACATAAAAAATTTTGATTAAAAATTAGAAAATAAGATGAAATTTTATCTTTTACATTTAATTTAATATATTTTGATTAACCAACAACGTAATATATGTTATCAAACCGAAATAAATATATTTAGTTTGGTTCGCAGACATAGCACGAGAATACAAACTATTTATATATATGCATATAATTACTATTCATTTGAGGGCAATATAATTAATTTTTGTGTGTAGTTTTTTTTGCGTGTTTTTGGGTATTAATACACAAATTTAACACTTTTTTCATTTTTTGTCCCTCATGTTGTAACAGCTTTTTTTTCAATCTTAGTTTTCATTTTTCTTTCATTTTTATGCAAAATGTGTGTGTGTGTGTGTATACACTATCTTTTTATATCTTAAAATTAACATATACTTCAGCTTATATTAATTTGTTCATTTAAATTTCATTCTTTTAATATTTTTTTTTATATAAGATTTTATTTACCGATAAATATAATTTATTTTTCTCTATGTTCGAGTTTTAAAATAAAATTTTAAAACATGATTTTTTTCTTTTTAAAAATAAATTTTTATAATATGTATCATTAATTTTTAGAATTTTTAAATGATAGTTGCATATATGTATAAATATATAATTATTTTATTCTAAATGGTTAAAAGTGTATTTCAAATAATTTATCTCAGTTTACTAGGTATAGTCAAGACGTATAAAAAAACTATTGAATCATTGATTTTATTAAAAATTAACTATACATCTTCTAACATAATACAAATTATTTACTATAAATATTTTTTTAACACTATAGACCTAATTTATTTGAAATAAAATATTTTTTAAAGGAACCAGCCAATTATTCAAATATAGTTTTTTATGCTAATTTTATTGATTATTTTGTAAATAAATATATATAGATCTAATGCATATACTTGAAAAAAAAAATCTTCTATTCAACATTAAATAAGAATAAAATTTTATTTTTTTCATTGCTTAATTTTTATGCAAGTCTATACATTAATTATAACTTTATTTTTTGGATATATTTTTATAAAAAAAAAATTAATTTTATAGTATTTGCTTTTGAATTCTTAATTAATATTTTAGGTTTTAATGACTATAAGTTTTTATTTAAGAATCCCTAAATAAAGAAGAATAAATCATGTTTTTTCAAGTAGAAATTTTATGAAAAAAAATAGTGATAATTAAATAAAAAATTGATAAAAATTATAAAAATTTTAAATGATTTTGTTCTATCTACCCATAGTGTTATACGGACAATTTCAAAAATTAATCTTCTCATCGGCATTAAATAAGAATTTTTTTTTCATTTATTAATTTTTTTCAAAATATGTCTAGTAATTATAATTTATTTTTTAGAAAGAAATATTATGAAAATTATATTTTTAAAGTTTATTTTAATTTTTGATTAATATTTTAGTTAAAATTATTATATTTTTATTTTAAAATCAATTCATAAATAAGAATAATTTTTTTTTATGCAGAAAAATTATAAAAAAACATAAAAAAAATTAATTAAATGAAAAAATTTTAAAATGATTTTTTTCTATAGGACCTATAGTGTAACGTGGGCAAGCAACTAGCGTAAACTAAATAGTATGGAATCAACTAAAGGTCAGTCAGGTAGTAACTCCCATCAATCACTTTGATTTCTCGTATCGAAGGAAAGTGCTCTAAGAAAATCTAATCCAGTGGACTTAGAGTAGAAGAAATAAGAGTCATGTAGAACTAACTTAATAAGATAATTAAAGGAGGGAATGGTTTTTGAAGAGCAAGCACCGTGGTGTTGGATGCATTATCCTCGAGCCCTAAAACGATAAGTAAAGATTCTTCCACTATCCTTTGTTGTCTCCATAAACTAGCCAAATCCGAGGTTGATAGGGAAAACCGGGCTGCCTTTGTCTTGTTATGCACCTTTTGATTAATTTTCTCTCATTTACTTATTTTCAACATTAATTTGACACTTTCTGGTCTCCACCATGGAAGTTACATGTACCGAACCTCATTGTGTCAAGTTTCTAGCTGTAATTCGCGCGTGAGCACTCATTTTCCGTTATTGGACTTTCAGGAATGCCATCATGAACTAACAATGATAGCCGTCCAGTATGTGCTCAACATATGTTTTCACATGCCAACTTGCACATCACTCACATTACCATTCAATGATAATTTGGGTCATTACTTTCATTATTATTATTATTTACAGCAATCTAGATGATTTTTTTCTAGCCCACCCAAACCTCTTGACAGAATCAGTGCATTCAAATTTAAACCCTTAACCTTTTATAAGAAACCACTACCGTTGGACTAGACTCTTGGTTAGATGATTTCTTTTGTTATTAAAGATGCCATCTGCAGGTTTGACATGGTATTCATGTGTTTTTATTTTTCTGTTTTCTACAACGCATCATTTGGCTGCCTGTTTTTTTTTTTTTTTCCTACACAATAAAGGATGCTAGGGTGCTAGCTTTCCACCTTTAACTTCCAGAAGGTGGAGGTTGGTGTTTCAGTTACGGAAAATTAGCTTTTAGTGGTTGTATGTCAGTGGGTGGAACATGAATTTTCATATTCATCGAATTTGATGTATTAGTCTTTCTATTTATTATTTATCTCTTATGATCTACTTGACCTACTTTAGAGTACAAGAAAAAGAAAAGGCACATCAGATCAGTTTACAAATTTAAGATCACTAAATCTTTCGAAGTACTTTGGCACCGAAAATATGCAGTTGGAAACGTCACATGTTGCGGAGGAAAAATTTATTGGAAATCATTCTTATACTATAATTTATTTGTTGACATGATACAACACTAGCCAGATATAAGCAATCCTGTTTGCAATTCCGCAAGGGCTACTACTAATACAAACACAAAGGGATTTAGAAGCAATAAAATTTACTGACCTTCGACATCCAGTAGCATATGTGGAGAATCATCCAGCTCCTGGTAGCTTCCATCAGCAGCACACACTTGGATAATGAATTTGAGACAACCAATATGAGAGGGAATGGAAAGATCAGACATATAAAACGCTTGAACATGCGCTGCTCCAAGATACTCCCTCATGCCTACTAGTGTTCCAGTTGCATTTCCATCAATATTTTTTGCGACTTTCTCTACATAGATATTGTAGTTCGGGAACAAAGAATCATTTCCATCTTTCAGCTTCCAGATGAGTTTCAAACTGACAGCTTTGTATCCCTGAGAAATTGAGCTATATTTAACATGTTGAATCTCGGTTACCCATGCAGTTGAGGGAGGAAAAAATAAGTTCTCTGAGAAGTTTTTAATTGAGATGTGACCAAGCACTGCAAAATACTCTGCAGGAACGGGAGCTGGAGCACCATCTTGGTTATCTGCTCTGAGTTCTGATAGCAATTCACCATGTCTAGACTTTGTCCTGTAGCACACAGCATGAATTTCTGTTAACATGTGCACATCCATTGCAACAGTACCCTCATTTACGATCCATTCTGAAGCCATTTTGCTAACTTGATGTGGCACAATCACTTTACTGAATTTTGGCAACAATCCGTTCATTTCTGATGGCGCCACAAGCACCCATATCCTCTCATTCATTACAGATGAAAACTGAAGAGACAGGCCCAGCAGCGAGTCACCCTTTGATTTCACCTGTGCATTATTTAAGGTGTCCACAGCTTAACCAGATGGAAGTAGATGAAAAACACATTGAAGAAATAATGTAATTATTTAATCAGTTTTAAGGCATGTGTGCACAATGTGTTGCAAAATTCAGTCTCCAAACAACAGGGACAATCTCATTCATAAAGTTAGATAACCCTTGTACCAAAAAAATAAAAAAATGAAAACTCTGTTAACTAGATATACAGGAACATAAGCACATGCAATCTCATTCAATATATTTCTAATCTATACTTGATTACTTTAGTTTTTGTAATAACTGTATGTTTGCAGTATTTCTGCTTCAAAATTCAAATTACTATTTTACCTCGAGCATGATCATTTCAAATTTTTTAGCAGCAGTAAAGTTAATTTACAGGATGGACATGACAAGGGAGTTTGCCATTTTATTATGGAATAAGTAGCATATTCCCTTGTCATCAAATTTGAACCCAAAAAGAAAACTTACAGAATATGTAAGGTGGAGAGGTAGGTTATCCAAAAGAAGCTCTCCTTGAAAGAGCCTTATTGTGAAAGGAGCATTGTCATCAAGAGTCCCTTTAAATGTGATGTTTCCTCCTCCAAGATAAGATTCCTCCTTCAAGCTATCATTAGCAAATATATGCTCAAATCAGGTCAGAACAGCAACAATCAGCATACAGAAACCAAAATTAGTGCAAGTAATGAATACAGTATCGATGCCCTGCTGTGGGCTGTGTAAGCTAGCAACAGGCCACCAATCTCAAGATGGTGAATGATACTAGCATGCTTGAATGTCGTTATCATGCTTAAGTCTCATGGAAGACTGAAAGAGCTAGAATAAATGAGAATCGTCCATAATTAAGTAATGATGGATATTAGGATACACTGCAAATAGGCTATCCTTAAATGAAGGGAGCACCATTTTTTTCAATATTAGGGTACACTGCAAATAGGCTATCCTTAAATAGCAAGATTAGGAAGAAAACAATTTAAAACTTGATTGTAAAATGAGATAATTATAAAGCAATTCTTTCTTTCTTTTTTCTTTTTCGAGAGTGCAGGGGGAAGAGGGGGTTGATGTTCTTAAATAGCAAGATTAGGAAGAAAACAATCTAAAACTTGATTGTAAAATGAGATACTTATAAAGCAGTTCTTTCTTTCTTTTTTCTTTTTCGGGAGTGCAGGGGGAGGAGGGGGGTGATGTTCTTTGCCTAGCATCCTTGTAGGCTTGTACAAATGCTAAATAATGAATGTGTATATATGATATCATGCTATTTAGTGAAATTGGAATTAACACTATCTAAATAGCTGTAATATTGAGTAAATAAAAGATACTATAAGCACCAAACTTACTCCACCATGAATTGAATAGAATCTGGAGTCGGCCCATCAATAAACTCAAGACAAGGCTGCCAAAAGAGATGGGATCAGAAAGTAAGACATGATAACAAGCCCTGTGTCAATGATGTTAGCATGGCTGCTCAATTGATAGCAGGATTGGAATATTTCAGATGGAATATAAAACTACATTTTACCAACTGTATTGACCAATTATACCTCTCCATCTCCGTCACACACACAGGGTTTGTTTGGCCTATTGTGCTTCTAAGAGAAACAGGGGAAGACATACTTTTCTTATAATAAGCCTTAGCATGCCTGATTTTTATAAAAGCAAGTTCTTTACCAAACACTTCTGCTCTTAAAAGTTGCACAAAAAACTGCTTAACTTATAAGTACAACAAGGCCAAACGAAACAAGAATACATGAGCAAAAGCATATGAATATAAACAGGAAAAATCTTTGATAATTAGCTTTACACGGAGCTATATGAGTTACAAGATTGAACTCACTATTGCCAAATACAAGCTAGAATCTAGTATTTGTTTGGAAAATGTGCATCTGTACAATAAAGGTGCTTCTCCCTGGGTTGCAGGCTTTGGTAGTTCAAAAGGAGAACTTTGTTGATGATGTTAGTGGTCTATGTCCGTTTTGCAATTCCACCAGAGAGAGAGTCTCTCATTTGCTGCTTCATTGTCAAGCAGTTTGGTTGTTGTGGTCACATATTATGAAATGGTGGGGTTGTTTGTAGCCTAAGCAGTGTACAGTAGACAACCTTTTTCAGAATTAGTCCTCATTTGCTATTGGTCAGATGCAAAAAGAAAATTGTGATTTCTAGTTTTCTACTCAGTTTAATGGTGTATTTAGTTGGTTAGAAATGACTTAGTCTTTAATAATGTCACTCCTGATTGGCACTAGACATTCTATTTAATTTTCCATAGAGTTGCTAGCTGGGCAAGGTTTCTTGATGATTGCTCTGATTACTCTGGAAATGATTTAGCAAAACACTCAGAAGACAGAAGGAAATCAGAGATGGACTAACTGATTCACTAGTCACCAACCAACCTCATGGGAAAAGTTGAGAATTGGTTGTTTGAAAGGGAATGTGGATGATACTCAGGGATCATAAGGGAAAGTTCTTGTATGCCATCTCATTGCCAACTGGTAGTAAGGATTCCAATGAGGCTGAGGTTCTAGCGATTAATAAAGCCTGGAAGATAAGTTCTTCGTATCATCTTTCTCAAGTGGTAAACTGGATCATAAAATCTGAGCATCTCTGGGTTCGTCAAGATGCTAATGAGAGGTCATGGAGAACGCATAATGTTTTTATGAGTACATATTTTTGTATTCATAATCTTAAGTTAGTTAGCTTTAGTACAATTAATAGGGATTGTAATATAATCCGTTTGTTTCTACAATGTAATATCTATTTTGCTATCAACTAGATGACTCTCATCTCAATCTAATCAATTTTCATTAAAAAAAAAGAAACAAAGAAAAGAAAAGAAAAAAGAAGGGGGTAATTGTCGTGGAGGTGTGCTATGTTTGCTATGGTATAATTCATCCAAAAGTTTTCGGTAACAAAATTAATAGCTTCACTTTGGTGTTCTGCTACAGGGTTTTTATGAAAGTTTCCTCAGAGGACATGGAAAGAGATGGAGAGCCCTCTTGTTCTAGTTTCTTACTGTTTTGTTTTCTTTCTTCAGGAGGATTTCTTATCCTATCGATCTCCGTTCTGTTGCCTCTTCATAAAATTTCTTCTATCAACCAAAAAGAGGGTGAGAGATTGAAGAGAGAGAATTTTCTATCCTATCTATCTGCATTATGTTCCAAACCTCCTGATCACTATTGTAGGTTATTTCTTGTGTTGTACTGCATTAAATTCCCTTCTATGCAGGTAGAACTCAGAAACAATTATGAATTGTGAGTTAATAATAACGTGAGGGTCATAAATTTTGAAAATGGAAACACTCCGACGAATATTGACCCTTTGATATTATTAATAAAATACATAACAGAGAGCAATGATGACTTCCACTGGTCCTGGAATATCCTAAGTTTCTCTATAGTGCACTTTGGAGAGACAGGTGGAAGTCTCCAAAACATATTCATTCCATAGCAAAATAAAACTACAGTTGACAGTTCTAATAAGCATATTGAAAAACAAAACACGTCAAAGCAACCATACTAAAATAAAGTAATGACAGCTCTTTTGGTGCGCACCTGAAAGCCTTGGCAGGACATGTTGTTCCAAGGAGCATCTGTTAGCTGGTTGCCCTCGACAGAAATATGATAGCCTAGACCCTGAGCAATTTCAAGATTGTCAGTACTTGGAAGGGTGCTTGAATCTACCCTAGCAACAATCACAAATGGCATTCATACAATGATCAGTCCCAATGATTAGTGGAATCACGTGGTTACTCAAGGACAAAGCAAAAACTGCATCGAGGGAAACAGAATCCTATCACCAGATCTTACTTACAGAAAGATAAAATGCAATCTTAGTTCTTACTATTTTTGTCGCTACCTGATGTTTGCAGGACTTGAGAAAATTTATTTAAAATTTCTTATTGCTGTTGAAAATTTCTGTTTATATAAGAATATGAGTTATTTATTAATTTTGGAATCACTACCTAGTATTAAAGTAATTAGTTAACTTAAAATGAGCATTGGCTCGGAGATTTTCGGATAAGGAGTTGATTATACTTTTAAAAAAATATCAATCATCCGAAAACACCATTTCATAGAAAATGTACCATATCTAGTTTAGTTTTAAAATTTATATCCTAAAAAGTTTCATTTTTCCCAAATTATTCCTAAACCAATTTTCAAGTTTTACTTCTCAAGACAAACTAAGTTTTTTATTTTTATTTGTGACATCTTATTGAACTAATCGTCAAACCTCTCTATCGAGCGCCTCGTTGGTTCAACATCGGATCCAGCTTAAATCTTAACATAACCGTTATGTTAAAAAACGACCTAATTACTAAAATATAATTGATTTAAACTAACATCGAGTCTCTATTGGATATGAGACTTTGTTAATTTTTTTTACCTAGTATTTTCTATATATTTTCTTTTCTTTTCTTTTTTATCTTCAGTTTTATTCTTTACCTAACATTTTCTCTTTCTTTTTTTTTATCTTCTTTTCTTTCTTTAAAATTTTTCTTCCTTTATTTTATTTTCTTTTTTTGTTTAAATTATTTTATCATTTTAATTTTTTCTTCATTTTCTTTCCCTTCCCAATGTTTTTTATTTTTTTTTATTTTTTATTTTTTTGTGCTGACGAAGAATCGTCATCGGTTCCTAAAAATTAGGAGACTCAACAAACTCAAAATACGAAATACGAAACTTGACAGCCTCCTCTACAATGCAGGCTAGTTCACATGCCTTAAGGACCACCGAAAGGTGATTCGACAATAAGCAATGGCTGTCCGTCTTTTGAAATGCAATTTTGTAATTCTGACATATAGGGGCATTTTGGTAATTTTCCTTCCAGAGGAATTTTGGTCATTTTCCAACCACATCACAAGGGCATTTTGGTCACTATTTAATGACCATTTTGTTTGTTTCTCTTACTTATTTATTTTTTAATTACTTTATGATATTTTATAATAATGTTAATTTAATTTATGTTAGAAACTTAGATTATATATGCATGTTTTTTTTTTTACTACTTAATTTAAATTTAGTATTTTGAATTTCTTGAATTTATTTAATCAATGTTTAATTTTAGGATTTATTAAGTCGGATGGTTAATAGGTGAACGAATCGTCAAATTTCCTAATTTTTAGGAACTAATGATGATTCCCTATCAACATTTAAAAAAAATATGAAAGAAAAATGATAGAAATTAAAAAAAAAAGGAAAAGGAAAAGGAAAGGAAAGAAAATGATAAAATGATATCAAAAATAAAATTTAAAAAAAGAAGAAGAATGATAAATAAAGAAAAAAAGATTAAAAGAAAAAAGAAAAAGAAGAGAGAAAATGCTAGGTAAAAAACTAAAACTAAATATTAAAAAAGAAAAAAAAAGAAAAATATATGGAAAATAATAGGTAAAAAAAAATTAACGAGTCTCTTATCCAATAGGAATTAATGTTAACTCAAATCAATCATATCTTAATAATTAGATCATTCTCCAACATACTAGTTATGTTAAAGACTTAAACTAGATTAGATATTGAATCAATAAAACGTCCGACGAAAGGATTCGACAATCGATTCAATATGATGCCCCAAACAAAAATAAAAAATTGGGTTTGGTTTAAGAAGTAAAACTGGAAAATTGATTTAGGAATGATTTGACAAAAATAAGAACCTTTTATGAGTTAAATTTTAGAACTAAACTAAACATTTTGCCTTTCTTAAGAAATGATGCTTTCGAGTGATTGATATCTTTCTAAGAGCATAACTAGCTACTTAACTGAAAACCTCCGAACCCATGCCTATTTTACATTCCTAATTTCTTCAATACTAAGTGACAACTCCGAAATTAATAAATAACTCACATTCCCAAATAAACAAAAATTTTCAACCATAAGAAATCTTAAATAAATTTTTTCGAGTCCTACGAATGTTTGATAGAAACAATTTTGATTTAACCTATTTCATTGAGCATTTTCTACTATAGTCTAAAAATATGAATGCAAGAAGGCTTGCTAAGTTTCAAAAATGATCTATAGAAATGGAACTAAATCATTTCAAGAATTATCCATCCCAGCTTTCAGGAAAGTAAAAGTGAAGAGTAGGACATAGCTGCAACCTGATCAAAATTTGAGTAAAATGGTAGTAATTTAGGATGATTGTTTACTCTTCCCCATGATTTAGCAACAAGTGCCCACCAACTGCAAACACAAAGTACACCACAGGCAAACTCATAAAAAAATTGTGTTAAGAATTATTAGGTACCAAATAAATAATGAAATGTTTTACTCTTAAACTATTGATTTGCAAAATTCACACCCTTCCATAAAAATTCACTTTCAAGAAGAAAATAATGAGAAATGATGAGTGAGATTTGTTGAACTTATTGAGTTAATGCATGCAAGTAAAGAGGAGAAAAGCATCAGGAGAATCTCAAGATGCAGCCAACATCAGAAAGCATTGTGCAAAGACCATCACCATCTTTAGCTATCCAAAAGACAACAGAAAAATTACGGAGCATCTAAACTTCTCTAATGCAAAATTGATGCTGATTTGTGTCAGATATTAGGAAACACCGCTCATAACCTAGACAAGTTTTCCAGTAGACCAAGAAGGCTAAGCAAGCATCAGAAGTTAGCAGTATAGCATACAGAAAAATTACGGAGCATTTAAACTTCTCTAATGCAAAATTGATGCTGTTTTGTGTCAGGTATTAAAGAAACACCGCTCATAATCTAGACAAGTTTTGCGGTAGACCTAGAAGGCTAAGCATGCATCAGAAGTTATAGCAGTATAGCACACAGCCATATCAGAGCTCAATTATTAGATTCAGGAAATTTGGCAAAAAGAGAGAAAAGGATTACCGATTTTGAGCAGTCCGAAAATCAGGTGGTTGCTTTGTCTCGTATAACCACCCAGGAGCAAATATGGCAGCTGACACATTAGCCTTCTTTATTACATCAAGTGCGACATTTGTCTGATATCACAGTTACTAAACTTGATTAAGAAGATGCCACAGTTCCCCATGCAAGTTTAAATATGTAAATTTAACAAAGAAAAATAAACTATATCTACAAGTTATAGTACAGAAGTGACAAACTTAACATTACATGCCATTGTTGATGTACCAATGATTTCATAACATGCCTGACGGGTAGGAAAAAAGTTTATATTTTATTGACATTCCTTCACCACTCCTTTTGTTTTTGGCACAAAAGGATATAACCATTATGGATGGAAAGAAAGGAAGATACAACAGAGAGAAACTCCTCCAGATCACCACCGACTAAATACTACTTCACCCATGAGAGCTATGATTTGTTTTTTTGTTAGAAATGAGAGCAACTCCTATCAAATATGCAAATATGACTCAACCCAGCACAAATACAAGAACCATATGTGACAAACTGGTACCATTCTTACCAGAAAGCATCAAGAATGCTACAAGTTTGCAATATCATTTCCTACACAAGGAAAAAGTATCCAGTTCTTTCAAGTAGAAGGTGGACAAAACCAAGTGTGGGAGTAACCCAACTGATTGGTCCTGTAGTTCCCCTGACTTAGGGTGATACCATCTACAACAGCTGTCTCATGTTCAACCCTCCCCACCCGGCAGAGAATCATTCCATCCCTCATGGGGTCTTCAAGGATTTATCCAGGTAATTTGCCTGGTGCATGATGAGGAAATTCTGAGTGATGAAGGCTTATTTGGATGTTTAACGAACTCTGGAACCTTAAAGGTACCGCGTTCTGCTGGAAAACTTTGTTTAAGGTCTTATACAAGCTTAGTTTCGAGTTTCACCATTTTCGCCTGCTAGTAGCAGCACTATCAAGAACTGACTATTTGTCTACTAGCCAGAATTGGGACCAGGACATCATGTGCAACAAGAGGAACAAACTACTTGAGAACTGAACTTGTCTAATTAGTTTTTGTAAATACAATAATCTGTCCATGTTCAAAGTCTCTAATCTTTGGTCCCAAAGCCTTGTTTTAAAGCAAAATAATTCCCTTGGTTCTGCACCTAAACAAGTACATATACTATGCCAAATACCTTTTTACTTTTTTTTGTTTTCCCTTCCTTTCTATTGAGGTGGATACCTGAGACATCACTATTTACCACAGCAATGCAGCATCACTTCCCATAAAGCTGACAAGATTTTGAGATCTCACCCACCCACCCACCCACCCACCCACCAAAAAAAAAACCCCCAACACACACCAAAAAAAAAAAAAAAAAAAAAAAAGAAAAGAAAAAAAGAGTGAACTAAAAGAGCAGTCCAGCCCTCTTGAGTTCGAACTAAAGAAAAATCCTCTAAAGTCCCAGAAATAGAACATCATAAAGCGGTCAAGGAAACTGCTCTACCCTACAACAGTCGGTAAAGAAAAAAATTCTTTTAAGATTTTAGAATTCCACTCCATATAACCATAGAGACACAACAGATTTCCTTAAGGCATTCCCTCTCCCAAACCCATTAATTGAATCAATAAAAAACCATCCATCCCACTAACCTCTTAAAGAGTAGAAGAGAGTTGTGATCCTTTAAAGAAGATAAATCAGATCCAACATTTTCTTTTCTTTGAAAAAAACACTGAGATCATCACTGACATTGACCTTTTAAACTAAATGTTAGTTCCTGAAATTGAATCAAAATATTCACAAAACAAAATATGAAGGTGGATACCATGCCTGCTAACTAATGGCATATTTGACACACTTGGACAAAAAAAAAAAGCACGTGCAATGAACTAATAACTTTGCTGAATACCTTCTACATGGAATGAATCTGATCAGAATGATGAAAAAGAACCTACATCATATAACAGAGCTTGTAATTAAGATTAACATGTCTAAATGAATGGAGCGATACCCACATTCCATTGTCCACCACCAAAAGTGTTCCTTCCAAATACATCTATTCCCATGTAGACATCAAACTTTCTATCTCCAGCCACAGCAGCTGAATGATCTGGGTAGTTAACCTGCTTGGCAAATGATTAAATTTGTAGACATGAAGAAGTGGAACAACAAAATCAACTCTTATATGGAAGAGAACAAGAGAACCCCAGTACCTGCCACGTGTAGTTTACAAATATGCCATCGCATATGTCAAAGAAAGGTTTATTCTTTTCATTCAGTTGATCTTGCCATCTAAGATGTCCGGTGGTTATAACACTGTCATACCTGCATAATTGGTGATACTCATTACACACAAAAAAAAAATTAAGAAAAAAATATCAGGATGGATAAGTAGAATGCAGTACTTTTAATACTCACCATATTACCAAAGATTCAGGTATTGAGGAATGCATTGTATGGGTTAGATGGCTCACAAATTCTTCAAGATTAGGAATTTGCTCCTTTAGCAAATTAACCTCCATGTTAATCTGCAATAAGCAATCACCACCTCAACTGAAAAGGTAAGCAAAAAAGATAAAGGTACCCAGAGCACACAGAAATAGAAAGAAAACCACATCTGAACTGCTTTCCGCTCTTCCTCAGGAAAAGCATTCTTTGTCGCTCCAAATACTTACATATCTCTTCGTATCATGCAAGGACAGTATCAAAGCTTGAAAGAAAATAGCAAATATCTCTGGCAGTATTTTTCAAAGAAGGAGGCTTTATGTAAAGGACCATGCTTAGTATGTACTTTCACACACATAAAAGAAGTGATTGATATGACATGTTGCAAATTCTTTAACCTGGTCCAAGATGAATTCAGATTTAACATAGGGAAATTTAACAAACTGTATACCAGCCATCCATCAAAGCCCAAATTCACAGCAAGCTCTGTCAATCGCTCAGCATACATCCAAGCAGATTCCTTTGTTGCAAGCAACTTATTGCAAATAAGTTTTCCTTCATCCCATTCTGTTATGAAAGTCCCCAGCACCTTCCATCAACAGGCAAAAGAAATAAATTCAAATGCATTAATCCTTCAGCCATCTACTTCTAACAACACATCAAGGGAGAACAGTAGAGGCCATAAACCAAAGCACCCAAGGCAAAAAAAAAAAAACACCATGATGTCTGAGCTGCCACGGAAAACAAGTTTTTTTTTTTTTTCAATTACAAGCGAATTTTTTTCCATGAAAGCAAAAATTGAATCTCGGATATAGCAAATTCTAATCTCTGTGAGATCAATGCAAAAGCTTGCTGCTTTCTACCAACAAGTCCTTAACTTGGCACTCAAAGTAAAAAAGTATAAACTTTTACCGCGATGATTATACCAATAATGTACATTATCATTGAACCAACCATTTTTAAAATCAACTAAATATGTTACATACAAGATCTAAACCATTATTAACCAATGTAAAAGCCTACCCTATATGACATTATTACACTACTCTTTCGTCAATTTCAATTATGAATACAAACTGAAAAGGAAAAAAAAAAAAAAAAACTTGGGTAAACCACAAAAGGACCAGAATTCACAACTTTTCACTACCAATTAAAAAAAAAATCCAAAAAGAAAAATATATTTTCACACATAAACTCCAAAAGGACCATGATTTACCAAATCGGTGTCCTGCTTATTCAAAACAAAAGTCAAAGAGAAAGAATCTCCTCATATCAATAACAATAAGCTAAATTCAATGACTAAACTCGTTCCACTACTAAATTAACCTGAGAAAAAAAAAAAAACCATTTCAGCTCAAGAACTGCAAAAACATAAATAAGAAAAAAAAAGTACCTTGACCCCATGTCTGTGAGCAGTATTAGTCCAGCAAGGAGGAGGCAAAGTAACCAAACTGTGAGAGAAGTAAACGAACACATCAATCAAATACCAATGCCAAATAGCATAAGCATCAGGATTAGTCCCTCCTTGGACCCACTTATCATCCACATAACCTCCTTGCATATCATGGCAAACGAGAAGCCTAGGCCTATTCGGCAAAGACTCGGTTTTTAAGGGAACAGAAGATTTGTTAAATGGGCACTGAAAAGATTCAAAATAAGAACGAGTTTCAAGCTCTTCAAGGGTTTTGATTGGGTATGAGATTGGAATGGAAGGTTGTGATGGGTCAAACGGAAGAGGTTGTTCAATGGTGGAGGATTCTTGTTCTTGTGGGCTGTCACTGGATTTCATTTTTTTGAGCATTAGAAAAAGGAAATTGCAGAGAGTGAATAGGGTTTGGCAGCTGATATAGGCGCGAAGGAATGATATAAGCATTTACTCATCTGCTTCTTAGTTTTCAGAGGCATATGCTTTTGCTTTTGGCTTTTTAAGTATTTTATTTTATGTGGTTATATGGCGTGTTATGGTCGTTGGCTTGGTCCTGGAGGGAATATAAAAAGTGTGGAAATCATTTTGCTCTTTAGGGAATATCAAAAGTTTTATATCGCGTTGACGCAAAAATAATCGTGATGGTAATTATTGATTGCGGTTTATTGAGAGTTTAAATATGGTCGCAGCAATTGATTTAATAAATATATTAAAAAGCTAGTCATTTTTAATAAATTTTTTTAATTTATATATTTTTCATAAATTTATTAATTAAATATAATAATAATATCTCTAATAATTTGATATCATATATTAATTGTTTAATTTTTTTAAAAAATAATAATACTTTTAATAATTTAATATTATATAAATAATAATAAAATATGAAAAATTAATTTTTTTAAATAACGGTTATGACGATAAATAACAGATTTATAAAATAATAATAGACAGTTATTTATGTAAAATGCCATTAATTTATATTTTAGATTTAAACTTCGGCGGAGATCTTACGCAAGTCGCAAGTCATGTAATTCTGCCTTTATTCCTTACTTGAAGAACAAATGCCTTTGTTTTTCAAGGAAACTTCATATGTCGCGGGTCATGATGGATTCGATTTGAGAAAGATTCCACTATGGTAGCGTACAACGTGTTCTCATATAAATACCCGTTTCTGGTCATTGGATCAAAGATGCAACGGTGGAGAATTCACAGTCCAAAACACAACCAAAGGTACCGTTTTCAATTATATCTTGAAGCAATAATTGAGATTTTTGTTTGAGACAACCAGTTTCTTTATTTTATTCAACATGTAATGGCAATACCATTATTCTGGTAATTTGATGTAGGGGAAAATAAATACACTGATTTTTAATTTTTTTCTAATCGAGTATATGAATTTTATTTTTTATTTAAATATATTTTTTTAAAAAACTGTTTATAGAATATTTTCGTTAATTAATAGCGTGACCATTACCCTCAGAATATCACATTATAATTTCTATCGTTATCTTAATCATGCATATGAGTTTTAATTTTTTCTATTTGAGTACGTTATTTTTTTTAATTATCAATCAAGTACTTTCATCTACTCGTTTTTGTTAAATAATGACGTGTTTGAATACAATATTATAATTTTATTCTTTTTTTGTTGAAGAAAACTTTATCCTAAATTATTCTACCATTTCAAAATCAGGCAAAGAGTTAAAAAAATATTTTTTAACTATAAAATCTCAAACTAAACTCAATTAAGTTTGTTGTTAAAAAAAAATAGCTAGGTTTATAAGTGAAAATTGAAAGAAAACATAAATGAATCTTCTTGATAAAAAATTTTACATTTGTGGTTTTTTTTTTAACTTTCATGCGGAATGCCTAATTGAGTTTTTAATTTTTATTTTTTTACATCAAACCTAAGCGAGTTTAGTTTGAAATTTTATAAATAAAAAAATATTTTTAAAAATTTTTTATCAAATTTTAAAATGATAGAACAATTTAAGAAGAAAGTTTCTTATCAAAAAAGAAGAAGAAAAAATATAATTTAGTATTAAAATATGTCATCGAGTAACGAATAAATTAACAAAAATACTTGATTGATAATTTTGAAAAAAACTGATATACTCAAACGAAAAAAAATTAAAGTTCATATACTTTATAAAAAAAAGAAGCAAAATTGTAATTTAATATTCGACGGTAACTAATACATCGTTAATTAACAAAAAAAAAATAGAAATAAAGAGAAAAAGTTAAAAATTAATATTCTTATAGTGCAATTATCCTTTTCCTCGTAGATACATTGCTTCTTGGCTACGCAATACTCATCGGTACCAAGTTGTTACTTAGAAAAAGAGAGGTTTCTCGAGAAATTTTATAATATACAAGGAGTAATTAGTGGCATGTACGGTAGTTACTCCTTGGGCCCACTTTGAGGAGAGAGATAGACACACGAAAAGAGAGAGAAAACGAGGAGAAAGAAAATAAAAAAATTTGAGCGAACGTGAAAATCTTCTTATCAATTTTGATGGGTATGTATATAATTTCTTTCTTTTTTTATGTATCTATCTCTCTCCTCAAAGTGAACCCAATGAGTAACTACTATATATATACCATTAGTTACTCCTTGTGTATTATAAAAGGTTTCTCAAGTTGTTGCTCGAAAAAGAAATTTCGACTTACTCTCGGAAAACCAAATAGGAGTTATTCCTATATCTCGGTTTTCTTATATGTTTCAATTTAATATTATACAAATACTAATAAAATATGAAAAAAATTAAAAATAATGGTTATTATTAGCTAAATAACAGATTTATAAAATAATAATGGACAGTTATTTATGTAAAATGTCATTAATTTATATTCTAGATTTAAACTTCGGTGGAGATCTTATTCAAGTCATGTTCTGCCTTTATTCCTTACTTGGAGAACAAATGCCTTTGTTTTTCAAGGAAACTTCATATGTCGCAGGTGATGATGGATTCGATTTGAGAAAGATTCCCCTATGGTAGCGTACAACATGTTCTCATATAAATACCCGTTTCTGGTCATTGGATCAAAGATGCAACGGTGGAGAATTCACAGTCCAAAACACAACCAAAGGTACCATTTTCAATTATATTTTGACGCAATAATTGAAATTTTTCTTTGAGACAACCAGTTTCTTTATTTTATTCAACATGTAATGGCAATACCATTATTTTGGTAATTTGATGTAGGGGAAAATAAATACACTAATTTTTAATTTTTTTCTAATTGAGCATATGAATTTTATTTTTTTATTTAAGTATATTAATTTTTTTGAAACTACCCATCAAATACTTTCGTTAACTAATAACGTGACTATTATCCTCAGAATACCACATTATAATTTTTATCTCTATCTTAATTGTGTATATGAATTTCAATTTTTTCTATTTGAGTAAGTTAATTTTTTTAAAAAAATTATCAATCGAGTACTTTCATCAATTTTTTTCGTTAAATAATGACGTGTTTAAATACAAAATTATAATTTTATTATTTTTTCGTTGAAAAAAACTTTATCCTAAATTATTCTACCATTTCAAAATCAGAAAAAGAATTAAAAAATATATTTTTTAACTATAAAATCTCAAACTAAACTCAATTAAATTTGCTATTAAAAAAAATTCAGTTAGGTTTGTTGGTTAAAAAAATTAGTTAGGTTTAGAAGTGAAAATTGAAAGAAAACGTATATGAATATTCTTGATAAAAAATTTTACGTTTGTGTTTTTTTTTTTTGAACTTTCATGTTGAATACCTAATTGAGTTTTTTATTTTTATTTTTTTCACATCAAGCCTAACTAAGTTTAGTTTGAAATTTTATAAATAAAAAAATATTTTTTAAATTTTTTTTATCAAATTTTAAAATGATAGAATAATTTATGAAGAAAGTTTCTTGCCAAAAAAGAAGAATAAGAAATATAATTTAGTATTAAAATATGTTATCAATTAACGAATAAATCAACAAAAAAATTGATATACTCAAACGAAAAAAATTAAAGTTCATATACTTTATAAAAAAAAATTATAATTTGATATTCTTACGGTAACCAACACGTCATTAATTACAAATAAAATTAACAAAAATAGTGAGAAAAAGTTAAAATTAATATGCTTATAGTGCAATTATCTTTTTCTCGTAGGTAAGTTGCTTCTTGGCTATGTAATACTCATCGGTACAAAGTTGTTACTTAGAAAATGAGAGGTTTCCAAGTTATTGCTCAGAAAAAGAGAGAAATTTCGACTTACTCTCAGAAAACAAAATAGGAGTTATCCCCATATCTCTTTTTCTTATATGTTTCCATTTAATATTATGCAAACAATAATAAAATATGAAAATTTAATTTTTTAAAAATAACAGTTAGTATTAGCTAAATAACGATAAATAACAGATTTATAAAATAATAATGGACAGTTATTTATGTAAAATGTCATTAATTTTATTTTAGATTTAAACTTCGGCGGAGATCTTACGCAACTCGTGCAATTCTGCCTTTATTCCTTGCTTGAAGAACAAATGCCATTGTTTTTCAAGGAAACTTCATATGTCGCAGGTGATGATGGATTCGATTTGAGAAAGATTCCCCTATGGTACCGTACAAGATGTTATCATATAAATACCCGTTTCTGGTCATTGGATCAAAGATGCAACGGTGGAGAATTCACAGTCCAAAACACAACCAAAGGTACCATTTTCAATTATATTTTGACGCAACAGTTGAGATTTTTGTTTGAGACAACGAGTTTCTTTATTTTATTCAACATGTAATGGCAATACCATTATTCTGGTAATTTGATGTAGGGGAAAATAAATACACTAATTTTTATTTTTTTCTAATTGAGTATATGAATTTTATTTTTTATTTAAATATATATATTTTTTAAATTGTTTATCGAATACTTTTGTTAATTAATAGCGTTACCATTACCCTCGGAATATCACATTATAATTTCTATCGCTATCTTAATCATGTCTTTGATTTTTAATTTTTTCTATTTGAGTATGTTAATTTTTTTTTTAAATTATCAATCGAGTACTTTTATCAATTTTTTCGTTAAATAATGACGTCTTTGAATACAAAATTATAATTTTATTCTTTTTTTTTAAGAAAACTTTATCCTAAATTATTCTACCATTTCAAAATCAAACAAAAAATTAAAAAATATTTTTTAACTATAAAATCTCAAACTAAACTCAATTAAATTTGCTATTAAAAAAAAATCTCAATTAGGTTTGTTGTTAAAAAAAATAGTTAGGTTTAGAAGTGAAAATTGAAAGAAAACGTACATGAATCTTCTTGATAAAAATTTTTACGTTTTTGTTTTTTTTTTTTTTTACTTTCATGCTGAATACCTAATTGAGTTTTTTATTTTTATTTTTTTTACATCAAGTCTAAGCGAGTTTAGTTTGAAATTTTATAAATAAAAAATATTTTTTAAAATTTTTTATCAAATTTTAAAATGATAGAATAATTTAGGAAGAAAGTTTCTAGCCAAAAAAAGAAGAAAAAATATAATTTAGTATTAAAATATATCATCGATTAATGAAGAAATTAACAAAAATATTTAATTGATAATTTTGAAAAAAATTGATATACTCAAACGAAAAAAATTAAAGTTCATATACTTGATTAAAAAAAAGATAAAATTATAATTTGATAGTTTGATAATAACCAAGACGTTATTAATTAACAAAAAAATTAGCAAAAATAGTGAGAAAAAGTTAAAAATTAATATGCTTATAGTGCGGTTATCCTTTTCTCGTAGATATATTGCTTTTTAGGCTGTGCAATACTCGTCGGTACCAAGTTGTTACTTTAAAAAGAGAGGTTTCCAAGTTGTTGCTTAGAAAAAGAGAGAAATTTCGATTTACTCTCCGAAAACGAAGTAGGAGTCATCCTATATCTCGTTTTCTTATATGTTTCAATTTGGTATGATAGGTCAACCTATATATGTGTGTGTGTGTGTGTGTGTGTACTATCTTGCAAGTTTTGACATCAATTTTTTTTTTTTTTTTTTGCACGGGATTAGGTCGTATGTATGCGGTATGCCTGCTGCTCTTGGGACGACGGACTTCACCGGTGATGAAAAATCACATAGAATGCACGGAGACATCTAAAACAATAATTATGAGACTTGCAAAGGTTATAGCGAGAATTGAATTTAATGATCATCTGTTTTGCCCTTGGAAATGATTCTTTTATGAATTTTACAAACCTAAAATTAGTTAGATCATACAATCTAATAGTTAAAATACCCTATTGATCTTAAGGGTGATGATACAAGAGGTTCCTTGTCCCGTTACCATTTGATAATGTGCATAAAAGTATGCCAAAAACCATCCAATATAGGATCATAAAGTCCCGGATTTTCCTCTCTCTTGAGTTCAACCTCCGTAACTCCACGATCTTCATTCTTGAAGTCATCCGTAACGACCCTCGACAACGACCTTTGATCTTTATGATACGGTACATTTTGGGGCTTAAGTCATACAAAGCGTTTTAACAAGGTTATTTTAGCCGGGCGAGGAGGAGTTTGTTAGAGAAGTCGATACAACCAATAAACCACAACGGGAATATTGGAAATCGACTGCAACGAACCATTTTTCTCTTTCTATTTTGCATTCGTCGTTTTTACGTTAGTATTTTCTTTATCACGAATTTGGACTATAAATATGTACTTGGGATTTTTCTTTGAGGTTACGATAAGAAATTACAAAAAATTACTTTCTCTTTTCTCTCCCAAATTCTAAATCTCTCTGCTCTGCTTCGCTCTCTGTTGCAATCTTTATTCTTCTTCTATTAATCTGCATCATTTGGTATCGAGCACTCGCTCCTTGGACAATGACGAAGGAACTCGTCTTCGAGAGCTCCGGTGATAGCTCACTTCTCTAGTGGAGGAAGTTGAACAACGGCGAGAGAATAGACTCGACAAATCCATATATGAACTCAAATCCTTGATTGGAGGACTCATTGTTCAATATAGAGAAATGATATCTTCCAAGAATATCGAAGGAACCTCACAATCCGATCAAAGAGATGTTGGAGACAAGAGAAACACTCCCTTCTCTTATGGTTCGTCCCACAAACTTGAGTTTCCAAAATTTGATGGTGAAGATTTTCGAGGATGGGTTATGAAAGCTGAATGTCATTTTGAAGTAGAAGATATTCCACCTCACATGAAGGTGAAAGTAGGCGCCTCTCAACTAAGTGGAAGGGCCCTACTGATGGCACCAAGGATATGTCGAAGCTTCATGGATTAAGTTGCGTATGAAGGCGGGAATTATATATACGAGCATGGGACCTCGTTTTGAAGCTCTAGTATATGATGACCCTTTAGTTGACTTGAGAAACCCGAGACAAACGGGTACCTTACAAGACTATATTGATGAGTTTGATGTGATTTATCCCAGGCTGAGATCCGGGAAGCTCAAGTCTGTGAGTTTTTTCATTCGGTCTTGTTACTGCCCTCCAAGTGCTCGTAAGAATGTTCAAACCAGCTTCATTAGTCGAAGCCTATTCCTTATCTCGGTTACGAGAGCTCACTATAGAGGCTATTCGAAATCCCACCAATCCAATACCCACTCCCTTATTCCCTAAATTCTCAAAACCATTTCCACCAACACCAACATTACATGAGAAGGCCAACAAACAAACAATCCCATTCACCCAAAACACCGGTATCTTACCTACACCAAATATACCGGGACACATGGACCAAGCTAAACCTTACATGCCCCCACGGAACAACATTAAGTCCTTAACCAGCAGAAACCTTAATGAAAAAAGAGCTAAGGGCTTATGTTTTTGGTGTGATGAAAGGTTCATACCGAGGCACAAACGTAAGAAACGATAAGTTTTTATGTTACAAGCTGCAAGTTGATACAAATGGAGAAGAAGTTGAAGATGAGGTGTTTGAAGGCGCCCTATGGGTGACAACTTCCAAATGTCCCTCCATGCTCTGTGTGGAAAAAAAGGGAGATAACAATGAGGTTAGAAGGTTACTATGGCAAGAATCGTACGTACATTTTGGTGGATTTAGGTAGTACCCATAATTTTATTAGTACTACTTGTTGCCCATAAATTAAAGTGTGAAGTGCAAAAAGTTGAGGCGATGACTCGTGAAGGTTGCAAATGGTCATTCCATCGGTTGTGATGCCATGATCCACGAGTTTAAATGGAAGATGCGAGTCGGGTGTTTTCAACGAGAGGTTTTCTTCTTGCCTTTGGATTGTTATGATCCGATTTTAGGAGTGCGATGGCTCTCTTCATTGGGAGACATCTTGTGAAATTTTAATGAGCTCCGAATAGTTTTTGTATAGACCAGTGACCTTGTTGTTTAGAGGGAAGATAAGAGGGATCCGTCAAGCTTGTAAGCAATCATAGGTTAGAAAAAATACTCACTCACCCTTCGAAATAGCTATCCAACACTTCCTAATTACACCGACACTTTATGCTACAATTGGAAGCAACCCTCGATCGGAAAAATCATGGCCCCGACCAATAAACCTACTTAAACAATACTCCAAAGTTTTTTATGAGACTATTACCCTACCTCCACATCATGACCATGACCATAGAATTGAGCTCAAAGAGGGAATCAACCCCATAAACATAAGACCATATAGGTATGCTTGGTCTTGAAAAGGATGAAATTGAGAAAATGACCGAGGAGATGTTGGAGGTCGGTATCATACAACATAGCAAAAGCCCGTTTGCAAGTCTCATAGTTTTGGTTAAAAAAAAAAGGGTCATGATGTATTTGTGTGGATTATCGAGCTGCGAATCATGCCACCATTAAAAGCAAATTTCCCATTCCGGTCATTGAAGAATTATTGGAGGAGTTGGAAGGTTCGACGGTGTTTTCCAAGATAGACCTACGATCGGGTTATTGACAAATTAGAATGGATTACAAAGATGTTCATAAGACTGCTTTCGGAACTCATGAGGGTCATTATGAGTTCTTAGTTATGCCTTTCGGTCTCACCAATGCACCTTCTACATTTCAGCACTTGATGAACGGTGTTTTTCGAACATTTTTACGGAAGTTTATCCTTGTGTTTTTTGATGACATTCTTGTCTATAGCGGGATTAAAGAAGATCATCTTCTTCATTTGGCTACGATTCTCGAAGACCCTTCAAGATCACCGACTTTTTGCCAAGATTAAGAAGTGCTACTTTGGGTGCTCACGCATTGAATATACGGGACATATTATCACCGGTGAAGGGGTTATGACGGACTACGAAAAAATTATAGCCATTCGAGATTGGCCACCTCCGAAAACCATCGAAGCAGTGAGAGGTTTCTTGGGACTCACGGGTTACTACATGAGGTTTGTTGCTAATTATGGAAAGATAGCCGGTCCACTTACGGACCTACTAAAAAAAGATGCATTCTTTTGGAATTTCGCGACTCATGAATCTTTCGAGAAGCTCCGCGGGTTACGACCACCACTCCGATGCTTGCCTTACCAGACTTTCAAGAGATATTTGTGATTGAAACCGATGCTTCGAGGGATGGTATTAGAGCTATTCTTATGCGAAAAGGGCACCCCATTGCTTTCATCGATAAAGCATTAGCTCCAAAACATCAATTGCTTTCCATCTATGAAAAGGAGATGATGGCGATATTGTTTGCAATCAAAAAATGAGAGGCCTACATCAACGATCGTCACTTTGTTATTAAAATAGACCACCAAAGTCCGAAGCACCTATTAGAGCAACGACTTATTACACCTTCTCGACGAGCGTAGGTTGCCAAACTTATGCAATTTGACTATGAAATTCGGTTCAAGCAAGGGAAGAGTAACATTCGTCTGCGATGCTCTGTCTAGGAGACCACTCGTTAGAGTGTCACGCTCTAATATCGGCTACCATCCTTTCACATTTCTTGGAGGAAATCGGAAAAACATGGGATAATGATGAAATAGTGCGGGGAATTATTAAAGCCAAGCTTCGGGACGACCAACAATTTCCTAAATACTCTTGCGGAAAAACAAGTTGAGAAGAAAGGGCAAGCTGGTGATAGGGACTAATCCACCACTCACACAACAATTATTGAACTTCTTTCATTCCTCGTCTATAGGTGGACACTTTGGAGTTCATACTACTACACATAAGTTGACTTCCTTAGTCTATTAGAAGGGACTTAGAAGGGATGTTCGCGAAATTTATTCGGAATTGTAACACTTGCCGACATTACAAACCCGAGAATGTAGCCTACCCGAGTCGCTACTAACCTCTGCCTATACCCGAGGGAGTATTCACAAATATCAAGATGGATTTTATCGATGGCCTTCCTAAGTCTCATGGTAAGACTACTATTATGATGGTAGTAGATCGTTTTACCAAATATGGGCACTTCATGGCTTTTCCCCATCCTTATATTGCTCGAATGTGGCACAACTATTTTTGGACTCGGTCCATAAGTTACATGGTCTCCCTCGGACTATTACTTCGACAAAGATCCTATTTTTGTTAGTAATTTTTGGCGAGAGTCGTTCACTCTTCGAGGGGTCACTCTTCAACTTTCATCGGCTTACCATCCTCGGACGGATGGCCAAACGGAGGTCGTTAATCGTTGCATTGAGGGTTATCTTCGATGTATGCTTGGGGATATGCCACACCGAGTGGGTCGAGTGGCTCCCATTAGCCGAATTCTAGTATAACACTTCCTATCATAGTTACTATCAAGATGACACCATTTGAGGCTCGCATGAATATTCTCCCCCTTTACTTCTACCTTATTATACTTGGGGATTTCAAGAATGCGGTACGTTGATAACACTCTTTAGGAAAGGAAAAACATTAATCGAGCTTCTTAAGACAAGGTTGCGGGTTGCTCGGCATTGTATGCAACGGTTGGCTAACAAGAAGAGGTACGAACGTGTGTTCCAAATTGGGGACCAAGTGTTGTTGAAGTTACGGCCACTATAGACAACGGACGAGTTCATCGGGGTAATCCGAAGCTACGACCCGGATTTTATGGGCCTTTCAAGGTGGTGGATAAAATTGGTGCGATTGCTTATAGGTTGCACTTACCGCCGGATGCTCAAATCCATGATGTCTTTCATGTATCCCAACTCGGACCCTTCCACGCATCTATTCAATTTACTCCGGTGCTCCCTTCATTCCAAACTTCGCCCCCACAACCAAATGCTATCATTGATCGACGATTTGTGAAGAGGAGAAATGTTGCGACAACTCGATGGCTCATTCACTTAGAAAGATTTGTCTCCTACGAAGCCACTGGGAATGGGCTGATGAAATTCAAACTCGCTTTCCAACATTCCTTGAGGACAAGGAAATTGAAAGCAAGGGGTATTGATACAATGCATTTTGGGGCTTGAGTCATACGGAGCGTTTTAACAAGGATATTTTAGCTAGGCGAGGAGGAGTTTGTTAGAGAAGTCGATACAACCAATAAACCACGGCGGGAATATTGGAAATCAGCTGCGACAACCATTTTTCTCTTTCTATTTTGCATTCTGTCGTTTTTACGTTAGTACTTTCTTTATCACGAACTTGGACTATAAATATGTACTTGGGATTTTTCTTTGAGGTTACGATAAGAAATTACAAAAAATTACTCTCTCTTTTCTCTCCCAAATTCTGAATCTCTCTGCTCTGCTTCGCTCTATGTTGCAATCTTTATTCTTCTTCTATTAATCTGCATCACTTTGACACCATAGTGAGTCAAACCACTCAAAGTGTCGAACATCAAGCTTCTGCAATTCATAGGGGATTTGTTTCCAATTAAATGGTTCGGACACCTAGGTTGTGAAAAACAGAAGAAAATCAAAATTCTAACCTTCGACATCCAGTTGAAAATATGGAGAACCATCCAGGCTCTGGCAAGCGCCATCTACACCACAGACTTGAATGATGAATTTGAGGCTAGAAGTGGTTGCAGGAATTGGAAGTTCAGAAACATAAAAAGCTTCTACATTTGCCACTCCAAGGTACTCCTGAACCCCTACTAGTTCAGCACTAGGATTTCGAACGGCTTGTTTTGGTAGCTTCTCCACGTAAATATTGTATTTGTGGAACTGAGAATCAGTTACGTCTTTCAATTTCCAAGTGATCTTGACACTAACGGTCTTGGACCCCTGGGAACCTGAACTCCATTTGATATAATTACCCTCAACTAGCCATGAACTAGAGGGAGGGAAATCTATGCTCTCTTCAGAAGTCCTCATTGTGATGTGACCAAGGACTGCGTAATACTCCTTCGGACTATGAGCTAATACATCCTCAGAGTCTTCTGTTTTATATTCTAACCTCAGTTGGGCATGCTCACACTTTGGCCTGTAGCAAACAGCATGAATTTCTGTTAATGTGAATCCATTCATTTCAATGCTGCTCTCCAGTATAACCCATCCTGGAGCTGTTCTTGGCTTATTAACCTGCCGGGGCACTATGACTTTACTGAATTTGCTTGAGAATTGGTTTGTTCCCCAGGACCCAAGAAGTACCGACGTCCTTTCATTTGTAGGGGAAGAGAACTGAAGGGAAAGTCCCAGTAGAGAATCCCCATCTGATTTTACCTGCATCAGTTAAGGTGTTCGTATAGATATCTAAGGAAATTGTTATCATTCAATACTAGTAGAAAACAATAATCTTCTGGACATTCTTCTCTGATCTCCAGCTTCAATCAATAACCAAAGAACAGAAGACACAGCTTACAGAATGTGTCAAGTGAAGAGGCATTGCACCCAAAAGCAGCTCTCCCTGAAAGATTCTTGTTGTAAAATCTTTCTCTTTCAGAGTCCCTTTAAATGTGATGTTACCTCCTCCTCTGTAAGAGGCTTCCTTGAAACTGCCATTTGAATGATTCAGGGTTTTGTACACTAGTCAAAACTACAAGAAAAAAAAATTTACGGCAATACATCCAGGTTATGCAATGGACTTGAGAATCTAGGGGCAGTCCCCATCAATCAGATGAAAAACATTGAAGGATACAAAGATGTACAGATTCCAATTATAATTGTTTCTTAGAATGGTTGAAAATGCGTGGTTTACTCGTAAAAATAATGGTTTTGATGAGGAGCCTGCAGAGTAACACAAGATGAATGCATTTTCAAGTAAATGGGAGATGCTTATCGCCATGGAACTTACTCTACAAGGACTTCAATAGTATCAGGACTTGAGTTATCAGTGAACTTGAGGAAAGGCTGCCAGAAAAATAAGAAAAAACTGCATGATTACAAGCCCAGTGCAAAATTGCTGATAATGACACGTATATTAGATGCACACCTGAAAGCCTTGAGAAGATATGTTATTCCAAGGAGCATCTGACACTTGGCTTCCATCGACAGAAATATGATAACCATGGCCCTGGACAACACTAAAGGCTTCAGTGTTATAGAAAACTAGTGTGTGCAAAATACGAATTGAGCTCTTGTTCGTTTTATAAAACCCTCCAAAAGACTAATGGCAATATCAGAGATCGGGAGAAGAAAGTTGAACATCAGTAAATTCTGCAACATTTGATTGTCCATTTTTCCAGATGAGTTTCAGCCTAGAAAGTTGTGGAAATCCCAGAACTAAGACATGTTTTCTGCATGAAGTCGATGGCAGTTGCAATTTTGGACAGGCTTATCAATTTGAGTTCGGTAACTCCGTACATTTATTATTTCAATAGATAGAAGTGGCTTAAATGATTGAAATATGCAGGAAAAGTTCAATGAGTCGGAACATATTCTCTACCTGATCAAAATTTGAGTAAAATGGTAGGGTTTTAGGATAAAATTTTACTGCTCCCCATGATTGTTCGACAAGGGACCACCAACTGCAGAATACAGAAGAATGCTATTATGTTCAAGATAACAACATTTTAAAGATCTAAAGGGTACTAATTCGATAAAGATAATATCACTCGTGAAATGATTGTCGATTAGAAAATTAGGATAAAAAAATTGACGTAAGTAAGATTAGTTAACTGGAAGAGCCAAAACAGAAGGTAGTACTGATAATTTAAAAAATATCTAACAAGGTTCGTGGAATATTGCAGGAAGAAAGAAGTAAATTACCGATTTTGAGCAGTTTGAAAATCAGGTGGTTGCTTAGTCTCATAGACCCATCCGGGTGCAAATATGGCAGCTGATACATCATCCTTCTTCAGCACATCCAGTGCAACATTTGTCTGATGTCCAAACAGTTGAATTAGATACATGAATCTAGCTCAACAACATGTCTTAGCAGAAATGCCAAAAATAGCAATCTAATTTCCCATTAATATTTAGTTTTCTAATTACTGAATATATTTTGGCATCTTCATGATTCTAATCTATCTGTCAATATACAACAGAAGAAAACTACAATCGTGCTTCGGAGAAGATAAATAGTCGCTGCGAAACCCAAATTAACAAGAAAAAGTTTTGCAGATTAACTCAGATTTGTAAGTGATTATATATTTGCTTTTGCAATTGACGTATCTTTTAGAATTTAGATAGAATGAATGCAATTGAAACTTTCAAACCAACATGCAGATCATATTACAGCTTCCAATAATGATCAGATTCACAAATCTCGCTACAGTAATGAGCTACAAACCGTCCATTGTCCACCACCATACGTGCTCCTTCCGAACACATCTATTCCTATGTAGACATCAAACTTTCTGTCACCAGCAACAGCAGCTGAGCTTTTTGGGTAGTCTTCCTGCAGAGGAAACAATAGAATTGGTATGCAAGAAGAGCAGAAACAGTGAAATGAAAAGCCAAATGAGAGAAAAGGAGGCGGCGATACCTCCCATGTATAGTTTACAAATATGCCATCACTGATATCAAAGAAAGGCTTATTTTGATCATTCAGTTGATTCTGCCAGCTAAGATCTCCATCAATTGTAACACTATCATACCTGCATAGTAATGATAATTTAAGCCATAAAAACTTTTAAGATTGGTTCAGTATGATATATTCTTTAAACAATAAAGGAATTGGCATTGCCTATCACCCACCATATCACCAAAGATCCAGGCAATGAGGAGTGCATGGTCTGGGTTAGATGACTGATAAACTCTTTCAAATTAGGAATCTGCCCCGAGTCCAATTCAACCTCCATATTGAGCTGCAGGTAACAAATCATAGGTTAGCTATATAAAATGAATCAATCAATGGGAATCCTAAAAATCCATGTTACCAATTACCAGCCATCCATCAAAACCCAAAGCAACAGCAAGCTCTGACAACAGCTCGGCGTACGTATGAGCAGACTCTTTTGTTGAAAGCAATTTATTGCAGATAGCTTTCCCTTCATCCCATTCTGTGATGAAAGTCCCTAACACCTTGGTTTTAATAGACACGAGCACGATCATACATCGAAATGAGAATAATAAGAAGTCATCAAATGAAATAAATTCACACACACACACACACACTTCTTAGCTTCATTCGTTGATGACCATACATAGAAGTGAGTGTCAAAAGCATTGCAAGTCTTAAAGTACCTTAACACCATGTTGGTGAGCAGTATTAGTCCAGCAAGGAGGAGGCAAAGTAACCAAATTATGTGAAAAGTAAACGAACACATCAATCAAATACCAGTGCCAAATTGCATAAGCATCAGGATTGCTCCCTCCCTGAATCCACTTATCGTCGACATAACCTCCTTGCATATCATGGCACACAAGAATCCTAGGCCTGTTATCTAAAACAGAATTTTCAAGAGGAACAGAACATCTGTTAAAGGGGTAGTGAAATGTCTTGAAGTAAGCTCGAGAACCCAAGTCTTCAAGCGTCTTGATAGGGAAGGAGATGGGAATGGATGGCTGTGTTGGATCAAATGGAGGGGGAGGGTCCACAGTAGAGGAATGATATTCATTTGATTCAGACATGGTTAGGACTTAGGAGGAGGAGATCGCAAGGAGAGATATTCAGGATTGGCAGTTATGCATGTATAAATAGAATCCAAGAATGACAATGGTGAATATAATATAAGATTTTGGCCGGAAATACTACCACTGAGTTGATCAGCGAATGAACTGTAATCAGGTTGACTTGACTCTGTGATAGAAAGTGTTCTGTTAAATAGCAACGCGTTTGAATACAAAATTACAATTTTATTCTTTAAGAAAACTTTATCCTAAATTATTTTATCATTTCAAACTCAGATAAAGAATTAAAAAATATTTTTTAACTATAAAATCTCAAACTAAATTCAATTATGTTTGCTGTTATAAAAAAAATCTCAGTTATGTTTTTTTGTTAAAAAAATAAATAATAATAATTAGGCTTAGAAGTGAAAATTGAAAGAAAACATAAATGAATCTTCTTGATATAAAATCTTACGTTTGTGTTTTTTTTTTTTTAACTTTCATGCTGAATTTCTAAATGAGTTTTTTATTTTTACATCAAACCTAACTGAGTTTAGTTTAAAATTTTATAAATAAAAAAATATTTTTAAAAATTTGATTATCAAATTTTAAAATGATAGAATAATTTAGGAAGAAAGTTTCTTGCAAAAAAATATATATAATTTAGCATTAAAATATGTCATCAGTTAACGAAAAAATTAACAAAAATACTTGATTGATAATTTTGAAAAAAATTAATATACTCAAAAAAAAAATTCATATACTTGATTAAAAAAAAAATTGTAATTTGATAACTAACGGTAACCAACATGTCATTAATTAAAAAAAATAGTTACTTGATAATTTTAAAAATATTAATGTATTCAAATAAAAAATTAAAATCAATAAATATATTTGATTGGTAAAAATTAATACGCTTATAGTGCAATTACCCTTTTCTGGTAGATACGTTGTTTCTTGGCTGCGCAATACTCTTCAGTGCCAAGTTGTTAGTTAGAAAAAGAGAGGTTTCCCAAGTTGTTGCTCAGAAAAAGAGAAATTTCGACTTACCAAATTAATCCATCATTTAATTATCTTCAGTTCTTATATGTTTCAATTTAATAGTATACAAATAATAATAAAATATGAAAAATTAATTTTTTTAAAATAGCAGTTATTATTAGCTAAATAACGATAAATTACAGATTTATAAAATAATAATAGAGAGTTATTTATGTAAAATGTCATTAATTTATATTCTAGATTTAAACTTCGGTGGAGATCTTCTGCAAGTCATGTAATTCCGCCTTTATTCCTTACTTGAAGAACAAATGCCTTTGTTTTTCAAGGAAACTTCATATGTGTCAGGTGATGATGGATTCGATTTGAGAAAGATTCCCCTATGGTTGCGCACAACATGTTCTCATATAAATGCCCGTTTCTGGTCATTGGATCAAAGATGCAACGGTGGAGAATTCACAGTCCAAAACATAAGATCCCCCTATGGTAGTGTCATCAGGTTGACTTCACTCTATGATAGAAAGTCTTGTGTTATTTATTGTTTTGCTGTATTTTGCCGTTGGTGTTGGATGTTTGGGGGGACCTTCAAAAGACAGGAAAGGACGTCTGGACACGGGCTTCATGTTGTTTATTACACAGCAAACACGGCAACTAGGCTTGCTTTATCTGGGGGAAAGGAATTTACTTTTCTTATTTTTCAATTGTTTATTTCACATTTAGAAAAAAAAAATCAATAAAAAATAATTTTTAATTAATAAAAAATAATATAGTATTTTTTAAAAATGTTTTCTTAGTTAAAAAAGAGGAAAACATTTTTCTTCTCATGAACTGTTTTGCTCTCGCGTTACTTACCTCTCTCTTGATATATTTAACATTTTTTTCTCTATCTTTTTTTATTTAAAATATATCAAATTAAATTTTAATTATTTCTTATTAATTATTATTAATTATTTAATTTATTTTTTTTCTATTTCTACAAAATTTGATTTTTTGATTTATAAATACATTAAATATTCTTAAAAACTATTTTACACCTTAAAATTATTTTTATAATAAATATTTCAATAATTTATCTATATTTTTTTTACTATTATCTCAAACATCATCTAAATTATATTTAAATGATTGAAAATGATTATTACAAGACTATAATTTTTTGTAAAAAAATTGAAATTAATTAATTCATTAATGAATACATTATTTTTCTAATATTATTCATTTGCAACTAAATCAATAATTTATAATTTTAATCAATTGTAAAATTTTTTTGGTAATTATAGTGAATAATTAGTTACAAATTATTCAAACATTAATCTTTTTAAACCAAATAAATAATTATCTAAAAATGATAACTAATAATTTATAAAATTATTTTTTAGACTAAATTATCAATTCAATTTTTTTTTAAAAAAAATCTTAATTGAGTTACCAAAATAACAATGCTAAGATTACTTAAATTTTTTTTTTTACTAAATGTGAATATTGATTTGATTTTATCTTACGTAATTTTGATGAATTAGTTTGATAGTTAAAAAAATACATTTTATTTTTTGAATTAAAATTTTAGAGTCGGTATTTATGAAAATTTATTAAATTTTTTCTAAATGTATCTTATATTATGAAATTATGAATATGTTTTTTTAAAGTTTTCTCAAAACTTATTGATGTAACAATCACATATTGTTTTTGTATTTTAATTTTCTATATCAAATAAACGTTGGAATATATTTTTCATCAGTTTTTTCATGTAATTGTTAAACAATAAAAAATATTTTTTTAAAAAATAACTTTTTCAGTAATTAATTTTTTATAGAAGTTATTTTTCGTCGAACAAACGAACGTTAAAGAAACAGATTTGAAAATTCCAAACTTCTTTTAAAGGAACTTAAAACAGTATAGGCAAAGGGTTACTGAAAAATATTTGACATAATTAACGTTGATATTAGAAACGTCAGAGGCATGGAACTTGCTGAGGAAATGATGCCCTTTATTTTCTTTTATTTTCCCCTTATTCTCGCAGACAATAAAGATTTGGCTATTTTCCCTAGGTCTTGCCGTCCTCTAATTCACACTCTCTTGCCATGTAAATTAAGAGGCTACATTGGATTGCATCATAAAAATAATAGAGAGAATGATGGAGTGGATTTGATTTGGATTACCATGGAATACGTACTCGTATTCAATAAGTTCTTGATTGGTGTTTTCTAGCCATGTGTTGTGTTGTTAGTCATCATCTGTAGTTTCCTGGCCTTTTTATTTCGGATTGAACGAAGGGCCGCAGACTTTGACTTCTGTGCACGTAGGCCCTTTGGTGATGGTACACAGTCTGGCATAAAATTAAAGGAGATTGCTCCAATGAAGTCTGCCATGCTCTTGTGACGTGAAAAATGATGGTATTATAATCTCCGATCGTATAAAATTATTAATATGATCATGACACCGTTGGATGCATCGAAATTATATCAAACCGGCATTGCCCATGCATCCGTTTCGTCATCTAGTCAGTAGTAACAGCTATTCTTTTCTTTTCTTTTCTGTTCTTTTTTAATGGTAATAGCTATTAGAATTAACGTGCCAAAATGAGCTGCTGCTTTAAGAAAGGGGTTTCTACTAGGAGATAGAGCTGAATCCTGTCAATCACTGCCTTCAGCCACCATACTCTCTAAAATTTTATGTTTCTCAACAAGTAAATCCAAAAACAAAATCACAACCAAATAGATTAGGAAGCTCAAACGGTTGGGATCAACTCAGATGAGGAAAGGAAGAAAAAAAAAAAACAGCTTAAGCTGTTCTTATAAATTTTTTGGTTCAACTATATCTCTCATATCGAAGCTTTTTACTTTTTACCACTGGTGTACACCATTGAGTAGAACAGAACCAATCTGAATTCATATTCGTATACACTCACGATCACTAACATCAACATGCAGTCATACGCTTCGATGTCCTTCCTTGCCACAAACACTAGGTTGTCCTAGTAACTAAAACAGTGTAAGAAATTTTAAAATAAAAAATGCATAGGGAAAGGTGAGAGCAAAAAAAATGGCAGCAGAATCATCTACTAGAATTACTCATGTAAACCCAAAACTAAGAGGGAATCAGAGGCCTCTATCACCAGTACTGTTTCCCTGCAACAAAAAAATTTGCATCATTTGTCGAATTTTTTAGTCTGCAGTCTTCACAGCAAGCTTCAGATGGCTTTGCCAGTGACTAAGACGAGCTTTAAGTATATCCTCAACTTTAAAGCCCGTATTCAAGTAGCAACAGATAATCCATTCATGTAAATTCACAAAATGGCTATCTGCAGATCATGCACTTCAAAGCAGTTCATCAGTTCCTGTTAACTTTTCAAATTCACTTTCATCAATTTTCCCCTTCTTCAGTTTTTTCAGTAAACGATATTCCTGAGCCAACTCTTCCTCGTCCTCAATTGTTTGGGCAGCTCGTCTCTGTTTAGCTGTTTTCTTTCTCATGGCACTAGGTGCAGCATTGGGGGTCTTGCGTGGCTTTTGGGGTTTTGGTTCTTGATTCTGTGCTTCTTTCTTTGCTTGCACATTTTTCCGCCTTTGTTTCTCACGAGATTTATCCCTAATCACAATTGTTGGCTATTAGCACTCAATTGCTATAAGAAAACTAGAAGAACAAGTTCTATGACAGCATGTGGATCCTGGACATGATATGCACAGAAAGGGCTTGGGCCCTAAAATTCATATGAATACAGTTAAAGCTTAAGTGAAGGGACAAACCAATTTTTGAAGCTGCTAAACTATGACAAAGAATGTTTGTATTGAGTAATAAATCAGACTGCAAATGAAAACATTCAACTACTTCAGGCCTGATACGTCTAGTCATGAGTACTCATACACAGACATTGGCAATTGCTACTACAAATTGAAAGGTCCCTTCTTCAAACTTAATGAGGTAAATAAGGAAATAGTGAAGAACTCTTACTTGTACTTGATCTCCTCTAAATTGACATCATCAACTGGAGTGAAACCCTCGGTTGAAAGAGAGTTGTGCTTTACCTCTGGCATCGATGGGAGCTGCAATAAGCCATATCCCATGCCCAACTTCCCAACTTCAAGTTCTTTCCACCTGTAAAATAAAACATAAGGCAAATCTAGTTATGGTCCAACGGAAGCAAGGTCCTAGGACGAGAAGCCTAGAGAGCCTCACTTCTTACCAGTCAAGACTTCTGCTCTTTTGAGGGTTTTGGGGTTGGGTGGGAGCTAAAGAACAGGATGAAGCATAATTCCTAACCTGAAAATGTAAGAGCAGTGGTGCTCCTTGTATGCACGGATGTAAGAAACAAATGCTCTCAGTCCTTTTTCCATGACATCACGGTCCTTTTTAGCAGCAGATCGTATCTGAAACAGGTAATGACCAGAGATATTGGACCATTAACCCAAAAAAATAAATAGAAGAGCATAGAAGAAAAGAAAACTATGAACTATGATACCAGATACAGTATCTCAAAAGCAAGCTAGCAGTTAGCATCTAACTATAATAGTAGTGGAGGTATTAACTCTTGAAACATACGAGCAAAAAAATCCAAATTTCTATGTGCAACACAATTAGAAGAATTGAGCACCATAATTAATCGTTGACTATTTCAATATGTAGTGCTGGCATCAAATCCAAATAAGCTTGATAATGATACACGGAAAATAGAGAAAAATGGTTAATTATGCTAAAAGCAATGTGAACCTAATCAGGATTTGTTTCTCTATCATCATCTTCTAATATACTACTTGGAAAAAATTGTGCTCACCAGAGAAATAACATCAGGTGTATCATCTGCACATTTCCTTTCTTGAAGAGGAACCCTTCTTATGCGCAGAAATTCCACATAAGATTCCTCCTGCAAGAAAGCAACTACATCGATCACTTTTGTTGTAAATAGAAGCAATGGATAGAGACATGAACAAAGAACTCCAAATAACATATTTAAGAGCTAATAATGATTGATTCAATGCAGAAGTGATAGCTACACCTTTGGCAAAAGAAAAACAATGGCATTTCCTTGCCTACCCAAACGAGCAGTTCGGCCAACTCTATGAACGAAGACATTTGGGTCTTGAGGGGGATCATACTGCAAGATGAATAAACAAAAAAGGATTGTCAAACATCAATTTGCCTAATAATTTAAAAAATAAAAGTGATTGCTAATCATATTAACCTGAAACCATAACATTCTCATCGTAAAGTTACAAGGCCACAGAATCTAGGCAGTTACTACACTACCTGCACTATACAATCCACACCAGGAATGTCAAGTCCACGTGCTGCAACATCAGTGCACAGAAGAATGCCACTTGTGAGAGAAGTAAATGAAGCCAGTGCTTTCTCTCTTGCAGTCTGTCAGGCATAAAAAATGAAATTGTCAAAATGGACAACAATCAGTTTGAGGTTTTGTCACTAACAAGATGCGGTCATCTTCAAAAATTTACCTGCTTCATCTTCCCATGAAGAGATATCAGAGAGAATCCCTTCAAAACAGCAAGATGTGGTAGAACAACCCCCCAATAATCAACACAAGCACAAGTCATGAAGTATCTGCAGATGTATGGAAATCATTTTTTTTTTTTTTTGTAAAGAATGATATCTCATTGGCCTTCATAATGTAGATGGCATTTACTGTCCTTTTTAATAGCACATGACTCACATAATAATCTTTTTAGACTTGTTCTTGGTAAGGAGATCAACAAGCTGAGATGGTTTCTTATCTGCTTCACATTCCAGATACTGCAGAAAGAAAAGATAGATTTAACATAAATGACTCCACTACAGACAAATATTGACCAAAGCTCACTAGTAACATGAAGGGATAACCCAAGTTGAAAGACAAACTAATGGAATGTAGAATTATCATCACTTAACATACAATATACCTCGAGATGAAGGCCTGATGGTGTTCTGTAAGGTGCTAATTGTTGAGCCGATTCTGTGTTATTTGATGATTTTGTTTCAGCTCGAACTTCAACCCTCACGGGATTCCTCAGTCCAGCTTTGGATAGCTCTTCAACAGCCTCAGTTTGAGTAGCTGAGAAAAGGCCAGTTCTACGAAGCTTGGGTAAGCGAGATATAATGGAAGTTAGCTGCTTCTGGAATCCCATATCCAAGAGCCTATCGGCCTCATCTAGAATCAAAACCTGTTCCACCAATGAACAAAATTGCCAATAAACTTCATGATCATGTTTTGTTGCACACCACAAAACCAGCCTTGTTTACAATCCCCAAAATATTTAATTTCAGTATGTGGCTATCTCAATAAACTTCTTCGAAAGGCATGCAACATTTTATCAGATGTCCCTAATTAAGTGGTCATGTTTTCTTTACAATATGTAACCAAGGTAAATGCCTTGCATTGCTACATAATGATTGCATATGAAACATTAGACACATGGGGGTATAAAAAGCATCAACCTCATCAAGTGGTTAAATATCACTACCTCGAGGTTTCTAAAATCCAAGACATCCATACGCTCCATTATATCATATAGCCTCCCAGGCGTCCCTATCAATAAATTAGTTCCTTCCTCCTCTATTCTCTTCACATCTGCTTTTACATCCATGCCCCCAACAAGTAGCGTGGACTTAAAATTCGATAAGGTCGCAATAAAAGGTTGTGCAACATTATATATTTGTGACGATAACTCCCTTGTAGGAGAAATGATTATTCCCAAAATCTGCAAACCACATAAAACAATGAGATTATCAGCATTACAGTAAGCAACAGAACCAAAATTAAAAACAAATGCAAGTAACTGAGCTACAAACTCCCCAAAACCCACTAGAGTTAAATTTTCCATCTTTTCCATCTTCAATACTGAAACAGCTACAAGAATGAAAATTTTCCTCTCGTTTTTCAAATTTTCTCAGAGACCAAGCAGAGCTCAGAAAACCAAAGAAAACGAGAACAATTTTTTTCAACAATTCAAATACTGAATTTGACCAAATTACAAACTGCCACTCTACTAAATCAGACCACAATTGCTCTAATTGAATAACCAATCAAGTAAATTAAGCAAATTTAACACTAGCTCTATACTAAAGCTGGACCAAAAAATCACTAATTTCCCATTCAAACAACAAAAAACACACTAACTTTCCTTCGCTTTCTCGCATTTTTCATCAGCCAAACAGAGAGCAGAAAAGTAGAGAATAGAACAATCACCTGGTGAGGTTTGGGAGGAGAAGAGGATCGGCGAAGAATTTCAACGAGAGGTACAAGAAAAGCTAGAGTTTTTCCGGAGCCAGTGGCGGCGTCGACAGCTACGTCTTTGTAGCTGCATAGTAAAGGAATAGTTGCGGCTTGAACCGGCGTGCAATAATCGAACCCCGCTTGAGCTAAGGTTTCGAGAACCGGTTCGGAAATCGAAGGTTCTAAATCGGAGAAGCGGGTGTTCGTTAACGCTCTGTTTGGGTTCGGTGATTCGGTGGTGTTCATTATGGGGTTTCAGGCTTTCGGGTACCCGCCGCTTCTTTCGTTCACTTCAAAAATCTATATTGCTGCTTTTGTTACTCAAGTCCCTGAATTTGATAGAAACGTTTTTAAGGAAAATTGAATAAATAAACGTTTCAAAGTCCAAAATAATTCAGAAACGTTTCTTTCGTTTTCTTTGATTCTTTTTACTGGTCATGGCACTTCCGTCGCACAAGCGAGCCTGTAGTTGAAGTTGAGAGTCCTAAAAATAATGGGAAGACTACCCCAGTCTTTCTCCAAGCCTCAAAAAGTATAAGCCCTGCTGGATATAATAAAAAAGAGGAAAACAAGAATATCAAAAATTTCACGAACTAGATTTTGCATATCAGAGCTATTTCCTTTCTAACTAGATTTTAAAAGGGTTATCATATTCTAATAAATAAATTTACAATAATATGCTTTAGAATAAATATTCTGGTTTGTGCTTATATGATATATATAGATTGAGTCTTGAATATGTTCTTATATTTTATCAATTATAATTTTGTTATTTAAGTAAGTTGTTCCGATTATATCACATAAAAATATCACATGATTTGCATGTGATTTATTTTTTTATGAAAATACCTTTTTAAGTTTAATATGTTAAGTTTCTAATTTATCCTTGTATAGTAGATTGAATTTTTAATATGTCATTTAACATGTTTTTAATACTAAAAAGTTTATTATATTATTTTGATTATAATAATTCATTTATATATAAGATTGAATAAATTAATATAATATTTACTGATATGATAAATCACCTTTATAAAAATGTGAATTGCATGTAAAAATAACTAAATGATATAAATGTCATTGATTGGGTTAAAAAACTCCATAATCATGATTCAAGTGGTTGTTAACTAGTCTCTTAAGCATGTAATTATTTATTTAAAATTTAAAATTAGTAAAAAAGTTAATATTAAAACATTGAATTAATAAATTAATGTCATTCCCTTTATAATGAAAATTGTTAGAATTTGATTGAGGGCGATTGAATTTAAAAATTATCGAGCGATTAGATCACTTGATTTTATTTTATTTAATCACAATGTCTGGATTTAACCATAAAAATATATCATTGAATAGTCAATGATGCAGTCATTGGCTCGTTGTCAACCGCACAAAACACACTTGTTATACCAACATAAGATGTTATCTAAATTGAGAACAAATTTGGGTTCAATCTATTATATAAAGGCAGACTGGAGACTTAACATGTTAAGTTGAAAAAATACATTTTTATAATTAATAAAAAAATAATGTGCATGTCATGTGATCTTTTATGATGATTTAATCCAAAAAAAGATATTAGAAGAATAAATTGAAAACTTTTTTAAATAACATAGACACAATTAACTTGTTTTAGAATATAAAAATAAATTGAAGACTCAATTCATTATATAATTACATGCAAGACTGTTTCTCCTGTTTTTGTATTGTCTGGCTATTAATTTTAAACAGGTTGTCAAAAAAATTAGACGAGTAAATAGTTAAAGGAATGTGACGTCCTATACTCTATGCAAGCAGCTTCTAAATGATAAGGATTATCTATTTTCACCTGTTCTTTTGCTAAAAGATTTGGCAGGGTATTCTAATAAAAAAAAAAAAAAAAGTGGAGTTTTTAGACAAATTGGGGATTGGCAATCTGAACTTTTCTGGATTATCTTTAATCCACAAAGGATGTATTTTATTTATGTATCGTTTGAATTTGTTTGGTTCTCGTGCATATATAATGTCTGGGAGTAGAGGAATGGAAGAATTCACAGACAATAAGTCCGATGTAAATGCTTTAGTGGATGTCTTCATCAAATATGTCCATCACGAGGCCATTTAAGATTGAGATTTTACAATAATAATAATAATAATAATAAATTTTAGATACAGTGAAATTTATAAAAATTGAGACTTGTATTGAGTTTTTAAACTCTTCGATTGTTTGAAAACCAGACAATCTTTGTTATCGAATTCCATTGAGTGGATTTGATTAATGAATTATTTTCATTTATCAAAACAATAACAACAACAATAATAACAATGGAGTTTTCTCTAAATTTGGATCACATACTATTCGAATTTTGTTATTAAAACTCCATGTTTTTTCTTTTAAATTTGATAAAGTTGTTTTACTTTTTAAGATTTTTTGCTTTGAATCCTTCATTATAATAACATCAATCGAGTGATAGATATATCACCTCAACTTTTTAAGATTTCTTGCTTTATAATGTAAAGTATTGATCACTGATTGATGGTATCATAACAAAGAATTTGAAACAAGAAATCTTGGATAGTAAAAGGTTTTAATAAAGCCAAAAAAAATAAAGAGTCTCAATAAAAAAAAATTGAAAATTACATGGTCCAAATACAAGCAAAGTCTAATAAAAACGAGAGCATTAAATTTCTTTATTTTTTTGAGTTATTTTTCTAAGAATAACTATTTATATTTAAGTTAAATTAAAATCAAGTTTGGGGTAAAACTATATTTGAACTTTTATTGAAATTAACGATTTTGAAAAATTAAGTAAAAGATATAAGGGATGACAATCGTGAACCCGAAATTTAAAAAATTCAGGTGTCATTTGGTTACTATAAATAAAAAAGTATGGAATGAAAATACAAAAATTAAAATGAAAATTAAAAAATTTGAATGATATTTGTATTCACATACTATGTTTGAAATAATAATAAAGAATCAAAATTAAATTAATTTTTTTTAATATTTAGTTTTTATGACGAACAAGAATAATTACCAAAAATAATAATTTTATCAATCTGTGGTGTTTGTTAGTAAAAATGACAAAGGTGATTGTGATATACGATGGAGGTGACGAGTAAAAGGAGATAATAGTAGTGAATATAATAATAGTAATAATAAATTTTTAAAAATTAATACCACCATCACGGTAAGTGACAGTAGAAGAAGAGTGTTGATATAATAAAAATAATGATGATAATGGATGAAGACCAATGACAAAATAATAATAATAATAATTTTTTTTTTATCACCGTTGCCAATGATGGTGGTGGTGATATACTAAAGATAATGGTGTTGGTTGAGAAACAATAACGGCAAAATAATAATAATAATGGTTATTTTTTTAAAATTTTTTTTATCATCATCATCAATGGTCATGATGATAGCGGTGGTGGTGTGACATAGTGATAATAATAAAAACAATTGATACATAATAAATAAAAATAAAATGTCATTATTTTGAAAAAAAATCATTTTCATTTGTTATTTTTATTCCTACCTCGCCCCATAAGAATGAAATCATGTTTAATTTTTATTTTTTTCTTACTCTTTATTCTCTTTATTTATTTATTTCAATTAAAGATTTATAAAATAAGAATAAAACATTCATTCTTATTTCAAGGAATTGTATTTCTGTTGCCATACAGGAAGTCAGAGCAGAGAATTCCTAACGACTGGGTTAGGGTTGTAGGCCTTTTAAGGTATGGATTAATTTATCTGTACGTGCACTTGGGCTCCTTTTGCTCTTTAAGTCTGAGTTGGGCTTTGACCCATTCCATGAATTGATTGACGGGTTTACATCAGACACCAAAAATTGCCAGATTTCCCCTGCTGGCTAGGAGCGTGACTGAGGAAACCAGGAAGGATCTTGCCCACCTTGCTCTTACGCTCTCTTTGGCAATTTCTCTCTGCTCTGCACTACTCAAACAATGAACCAATAATAAAAGCAAAGCAGAAAGGAAGAGAGAATTCAAAACTCAGTTAAAAAATGACCATAAGTTTCTTCAATTCTTTGACATACTACTTTCTAATCATTGGGATTCTACACCAAGCTGGGTCTCTCAACCCAGTCTCTGCAGTCTGCGAGCTCAGTTTAGTTGATGGAAACAAGCTTTATAGCTTTAACTTGGTTTCTCCGCTCCCAAATTTCCCTCATGGTGTCCTCAGCGAAGATGGGTATTCATTCATTCTCTGATCTGGGTTTTTCCTAGTTTCATTGGATTTTCTCTTATTGCTTCTGCTTTCACCTTATTGTGCTTGCTTCACTTTGGTGGCATTCCTGGTTTTCTATCGAATTAGCTACTGTTTTATTACTTATTTTTAGATTAAAGTGAGCTTGGTATAATAAGGTAATTGAGGAGTAATAAGGTGAAATAATGATTTTTTTCTTTTAAAAAAAAATTCATTGTTTTTATTATCTTGTTTTAAAATGTTGACGATATAATAATGGAAAGCAGCAAGAGTCAAGCATCGGTGGGATTTTTTACTGAGTAGAATCAGGGCTAACAGGAGATAATATTGTGGGGATGTATGTGGGAAATGTAGAAATACAAGAAATGATTGAATAAAAAGTGAAATTGCAGCCACAAGGAAGTGAAGGTGCCACTCATTGATGATAAATTGAAGGACATCCATGTTACATGATTGCTTCGGTGTCATCTATTATGTAGACCTTAGATTTGCTGGTGCAGAGAGTGATTTTATCCAAGGAGGGAATAAGGAGAGCACAGTAGGGTAAATGAATTTTTAACGAGTGTGGAAGAAGGGAGACTCAGTCAAATTGATTTGCAGTTTTAGATAATAACCTTGGAAAGTTTGGTTTTTATAAATTCAATTGATGCGAACTGTTTATTGGTCTAAGCCTCTGCATTCATAAATACGCCTCCATCAATGTATTTCTTCTATTTGCCTTATACCTTTGGCATATATATATATATATATAATTGGTGCGAACTGTGTATTGAAAATGAATATTTTAACATTAAAAATGGATTTGTTAAAAAAAAAAAGGTAATAATTATTCTGTCATATATTAAATCCAGAATAGAATCCTTTCTGGACTATGTCATCTGTATTGCTTGATTCAGGGTATTCCTGATGTTGTCAAAAAGGGTGTTCCGATTACGATATATAGCTTATGGTCCTTTTGGGTTCGTGTTATTGCTGTAGGTTTTATAAGGTAGCAGTGAACGAGACGGTGCTCTGGTTTCAGGTTGGCTCCATCAGGTTACACTTTATGTCTTTGTTTTTGAAGTGATCTTTGTTATTATTATAAACCAGTGTATTTACCTGTTTATTTGATTACACTAACTCGACTTTAGAACTTCCACGATATCATGTAAAGAATTACCACATCGAGTATAGTCGTTTATGAAGCTGACTTGCAAACTATAAACTAGCTGCCTTTTGGAATGGGAAACAAGATCTTGCATGTTCAAATTCAACAATTTGTTACCTAAACTATTACACTTATGTTCTGTGAAAGCTGCATATTTATTAAGGTTCTTTATTGACCTTTTGCATACAATTACGCTCTTGATTCTGAATTACTTCCACTATTTGAGAGCTGAGTTTTTTACTGGATGCAAAATCTTGTAGATTGAAGTTCGACAATACAAATGATCCAAATAAAAAGGGAACCATCGCTATAGTTAGATGTGTTGGAACTTGAACTGGTTGATTTGGTATTAATTTTTTATTTTTTCAATAATGACCCCTCTACGTGAAATTATACTGTTGATGCTGAATCATTGCAGTTGATTTGCCTTTGAGTTTCTCATTTTTGATTGTGTGGAGCAGCTCTGCGCTGGTATGATTTTTAATCATGATCCCCCTAGATGTGTTGACTGCCTGGTAAATTCCTCTCCTCCTGATTTTTATAGTTATTTATTATTATTATTATTATTTTTGTAAATCGGGATCTGTAAGTTCTCAATTTCAAGTTGTCAAGGAATATTTTTGAAGCATCGGCACTAGCTGGATTCAGAACCAGCACATATCAAACATTCCCATTCTGCGCATTTCATGTTCAGTTATTTTGGCATATCATCATCATGTGGAATTGTAGTTGTCACTGCATGTTTATCTTGTCTGTCTACCTTTAAGGATAAAGTCATCATCTACAAGATTACTTTAGAGAACATGTGATATGCTTTCTGGATAGGCTGTGTAGAGACATTCCAGTTGATTGTTAATACATATCCTTATAGTCAGGTGGCATAGTTTGCTCATCTACTGAATTCCAGAAGTTTCCTGGTATTATTCATCAATGAAGCACTGTGTGGAGAACCATCAAAAATCATGTGCTCTCCTTCAAATGTTTATTTTAGGATGCCTGTTAATGTGCTCAATTACGTAGCCTGTTAGCCAAAAAGTAGATATTCTATACAAAACCAGTGTAATATCAGTTTTTTTGTTGATTTGACTGTCTTTTTGGGTACTGTAGGATTGTGGGGGGTCATCACGCTGTGGCATGGAATGCAGTGCTCTTGTGGCAAAGAACATAGAAGGTAAACAATGTTCAAGATTTTATATAATTTATTTGCACCATAAATGCATTTATACCTAAGCACTACCAATTTACTTCATGTTTTTTCCTTTTGAATATCAGGTTTACTCGATATGTGAGAGTCTGTTACTCAAATGCATTATGCATGATCAACTCAATTATTCCAAAAATATGGTTTCTTAAATAGTGCAGATCCTTATTTACTATGTCATATCTTCAGTTCGAATGATAAGGCTTTTTTAATGGCATCTTATTTTTAACTAGTTAATGTAAATTGATATTATATATTCAGATGCACCAGGTCTAAAAGGTGTTAATTCGCTTCAACATGTAAAGAATTTGCATCTGTATGCTACAAAGACAATTGGCATTTTCTCCTCTTCTTGGCTTAAATGTGCTTCTTGCGTTTAACTAATCCATTTCTTACAAGTTACAATATCAGTAGCTATTTTGTGCACTACATATGCATTATCATTAATGTTGGCATAGTATTGTCTCTTGTGTCATCCAAGTGGTAATAATGTTACTGAACTAGTTTTTACCAACTATATAGACATGCCTCAGCCTCAAAATTAATTATAGATTTCAATCACAGAGGTAGTTGTTTCTTTGCTATTTTAATTGAGTTGTCTGAATTTTAGATTGCCATGCAATAAATCAGAATGACAAGGGAAAGTCTTCCTAGCTCCATTCTTTTAGTTTTAGACAACCATTTCCTCATTTTGAACATGAAGCATGTTAATCTAGGCCTAGACAAGTTTTTTTTTTTTTTTTTTTCAGGCTCTTAGTTATATCCATGATATATTTGCAGGTTATGATGTATGCATCACTATTGGAAAAGTCTCAAGCACTACCACTAACGTTATTGGTAAGATAATATAACTTCCTTTTTCTATACATAATACAAATAATATCTCTATTTTATTCTTAATGTGTGGGTCTCCAATATGGGTTGGTTATGGCAGCCTGGGTGTGCCTTTTGTGATGCTGTGGCTTATGAGAGTGATTCTTCAATTTCATCTCTTCCTGTTGGAGTCATATTTGCAAGCGCTAATGCTTTCCCTATAATCATCAATGTTGCAGATAATCGAACTCCCCACAAAGGTGTGGTTGTTAAGATGACAAGTAGTGGCCCAAAGCATAATTGTTCACTCTCTGTCTCTGTCATCTGTGATTCAAATAGAGCTCATGTGAGGGAGCTTTTCTTGAATTTTTCCCTCCAAACTTTATTATTCTATTACATTAATTTTCACCGGAGCTGTTAATACCTGTTCTACACCTTATGACTTCATTTATCTTTCTGTTTCACAGGGGCCACACTCACTGGAGAAGCTAGGGACCTGTGATTATGTGAGTCGCTGAAAAATTCATCTCTGACTTAAGTGTTTAGTGGTTTATGATTAGTTAGCAACACAATGTTAGTTGGGAATCGTTAAACACAACCAATATGTGTTGTGTGCTTTGAAATGAACATGCTTATCCATACAGATCAGCTCCAGAATGAAGCCTTCAAGTATTGCACCTTATGGTGGTACTTATTTTCATTACTTCTCTGAATTTTGTAATAATACAATGGTGGAATTTATAGAGAATTCAACTGCTTGGTCTTATAAGTGACTCCTTTTGATTGTTTGCTTATCTATTGGATATGGAACTTTTGGTCATATCATATTCTGTGTCACTACCAAAGAGTTCCCACCATCATTTCTCTTCTGTATAATCAACTTTACTTTTTGGACGTTGAAAATATTGGTAGATAGGCTTTGATGTGCATTTTAGTGTTTCAGGCTTCTAATTTTTATCTCTCTTACAGGCTGCAATGCTACAGCACCCTTCTGGTTGTGCTACAATTAATGTTCATGGAAAAGGATTGGGATGGTTTGGCACCATGATGATCATGTAAGGGTTTCCTTTTCTCTCCCTCTTTCTATTATGCATGGCATTGTTTTGAAAAAGCTATTATGCTTGTCTGATTTTTTTTCCCTTCCTTTTTCAGTATCTTATGTCTTTTTGGAGGGTATATATTGATTGGTGCAGTTTATCGACATTTCTTCCTTGGAGTTCGTGGGTTAGATGTGAGTTTCATCTCATGAGCTGTTATTCTGATTGTTTGAACTGTTTAGATGGCTATTAGCAACAATATTATCCAGTTAGCAATTTCATTTGGATATAGAAATTATATGGAGGTTTATATCATCTGACTTTAGGGATTCGCATTGTCTCTGCTGTGGGATGAGAGTTCATTATTTTGGGCTATTGTGAGATCGATTGAGATCTTCTTAGGCTGTTCTCATAATATGAGCTGGGTGAATGAACTGGGAGTAAACTAGTGATAACACAATTCAAGCCCTCTGTTAAAGGGGACAAAAATATTCTCAGGCCTCATGAGCTTGATTATGTCTTGTTGTCGATTGAAAGAAAATGTGAGGTGCTAAAATAAGGCTGAATATTTTGTTTTTTGCCTGGCCAAGTTTCAAATAGGTGACAGGTCATTTTTCAGGTTTGAATGTAATGAAATGACTATGCCTCATCGGTTAAATGCTGCTACATTGTTTTAAACAATCCCAACTTTGCTTCTCAATAGAGTGGCATCTATTGCCCAGTAGGCTGAAGGATGTTGGCATGTGCTTGATGTTATTATTTATAAATCTCTGCTGCTAGAATTTGTAAAGCTAATTTAAGAAGAAAAATCAACTCTTTCTGGATTCTGACATCAAAAGTTCTATCTCATTCTTCCTTGATCATCGTTTCTTTTTGTCCTGTTTTCTACTGTGATTGTGTCCATTGGTCTCCATCTTATGATGCAATTCTAGCTTAATATATTTCGGACATTATTCTAGGGCTATCAGTACAATTTCTTAAATGCTTCTGATTTTCTACAGTTTCTTGGGTGAAAGTAGAAATATATTTCTTGTCGCAGCAGGTTTGCCATGCTTGATTTGGGTGATAGTAGTTTTCTTTCTAGATCGTCCTCATTTTTACTAGGTGTCCACATTTCTGCCTTTTCCTTCTCTTTTAGCACCAAAAAGCTTTGATAAGCAAGGCAAAGCATGTTCGTTGCTATGTGAAAGACAGCGTTCATGACATGAACTTTCTATGACCAATCAGGCACACTAGAAGTTACGAATTTTACTGATTTTGGTTTACTTTTTTCATCAGATGATTCCAAACTTGGATTTTTGGAGAAGGCTACCTCACAGAACACAGGTATTCCTTTTATGTGCTGTCTTTTTTTTTTTTTTGGTTAGTGCTGTGGCATAAACAGGCTATGCAAATATCCGTTGACTTTATCGTTATGTGCCAATCTTGCAAATGTTTTAGCTGATTTTCTTCATGTAAAGAATTTACCTGAGGAGGAGAAACGGAATTCATGCCTAGTTTCAACAAGTTTTCTTGCAACGATTAAAGTGGAATGTACCTCTAAACAAAGAGTTCCCTCAATTGTCCAAGCCTCATGCATGGTTCCATGGGGTATTTCCTTTTAGAATGGATCCCATGGGATACTTACTCACCCATCTAAATGTAGAAGTGGTTAGATGATTTATGGGATCTTGACACATTTTCATTGTATTAAGACATGGTCTCTTAGGTTCATCAATGTTTTGCTGGATAGGAACAAAAAAATCTGTTGTACACTCCTGAAGTAGAAGTCTGGTGTGGCGTGGTCTCTCTTACTTTGAAGTGAGCATAGGCTAGAAGCTGACGTAGCTCACAATATATAATTGCTGCTAAGAAAGATCTATCTGCTAGCTAATTTACCAATTATATAGATGTTGACTGTATACATCTGAAAACAATATATCAATAGTCTCATAAATATTACGTTATTTGCTTCTCCTTGCAGAGTTTTTTTGCATCTTTGATAAGAAGATTTAGAGGACCTACTGAAGGTTATCGAAGCTCCTATTCTCCTGTGAACTTTTAAGATTTGCAACTATATTTACGATTTTGCGGTGATGAGACTCCCTGTTGTGGTGTAACTTCATGCGCGTAAATGCAACTGTGCTGATGGTTCCATTTGTAGAAGAGTGGCTGGTAGTCTAGCCTGGTGTGTCTACTCAAAGCAGGATTTGAAAATCCTTTGGCACAACCGTCCTTCTGTTCTTGATTACACCACAGTATCCAGGTTTCATATCTCTTATTTTTCATCAATGATATTCAGTTGATTGTAATCTCTTTAACATGACAGTATCCAGTATTGTCATTCCTTTTCTGTTATGTGATAAGTTGGATTTTTTTCCTTTTTTTTTAAAAAAAATGTTAGATTACACATTTGTGTATTAGTAGAGCTCCAACCCCTCTCTCCACCAACACATTGATTGCCATCATGGTGCCGCTTCCTTCATTTCCTTGCTCTCTCACTCGTGCCATTTGGATATTTATTACTGTATCTTGAATTTGATTTGGTCTATGGTGCATCCCATATATTTTTTTCAAAGTATTGTAATTCCTTCATAGCACTGATAAGTAATCTCTCAAACCATAATGAGATGCTCCAATGATGCCAGACCTCCATCTCTTCCTGCAACCCCACACGTTTCCTTCCCACTCAAATTTTAGATCACTCATTCCAGAGCAAATTTTGCAATTAGATTTTTTTTCTTTTTCAAAAACATGATGAATCCTTTTCAGGCAGCTGGTCATTTAAGTGAATTCTAGAAGTTATTTGTCTTCTTCCCCAACTTTGTGTTTGGACAAAGGAAGTTCATAGAACAGGTGAGTAGATGATGTTGTATTCGAACTTGATATGAGTGTCAAGAGTGTGATTGAAATATGGGACGGGCAGATGGAACATGCTAGGTGATCTGCTGGAGGTTCATGTTCTGCTGACAATGTTCCTAGGACCCATCTGGAGTTTGGTTAGTTTTGCTGGAAGATAGTGGGAGATTTGGAACAAAGTAGGCAGTAGTGATATCCACAGCAAGTTAGCAAAGTGTTTTGACGAGGCAAACAGAGGTTGACACAGGCAGAGAATTAGCTTATTTTCTTTGGGAATTGGCCTTCTATTTTATAGCTATTTTAGAGACGCACTATTTTCTTTTTCTATTAAGCAATAGAACAGAAGGTTCGATAGTTGGAGTAATGAAGGGTAAAAAGAGGGCAAAAAGAAAAAAGAAGAAGAAGAAAGCATAAAAGGATAATTAACACTCAAAATCATTTTCTCTTAGCGTAGCTTACCTTTCTAGGCCCCAACACAGCTTTTCTTAGTTCCCTTGATCTTCTTTGTCAATTATACAACTAAGGAATCAAATATAATAGTTACAAGAACTAAGCAAAACTCATCTCGAGAATTTACTTGGGTTTGGGGAGGACATAGAGTCACGTCCATGTTGCTTGGATTGGCAAGCACACACAGCCATTGGTTGTGCATGAGACGTATGAGCAGCCTTAAGCTGCATCTGACTCTTCTTGTATTCACAAATCACGATGTTCGCTTTTGCTGTAACATCGTTAGAACTTCTTGGCATGATTACTTTCATTTGCACTTTTGCCACGAAGCCACCAATACCTAACAGTGATTTTGGAAGGTTTCTCAACAACTGTGTTTATTTTAAGTTATTCAATTTGTCTGTCCACAATTCAACAAATACATAGCGTTTTTTTTTTAAAAAAAAATGGTGAATGGCATCCTTCTTAGATAAGTATAAGGAATCTCGCATAAGAAATTAAAACTGTACAAGAATCAAGAGTAAGAAATTGGAGAGCCAAGGATTCATGAAGAATATGGCAGTACTCTACTCGAGTAGTACGGAAGGACCCAAGTTTTATGTGATATTATACTGAGTTGTGGTTTTAAGTTCTAAACCAACTTTAAGTTGCTTTTCCATCCTAGGTTGCCCTAATTTAAGTTCTTCGGACAGCTTAATGAGGATTTTTTTATCAGGTGAGTCAGATCCATGCCTACTACGTGTTATTTGATCTCTAATTCTAGTAGTGAAAACTCTGGATAAAAACAAAATATTAAACAATAGAGCTATATGAATGCCTGTTAATTAATTAATTTGGGATTGATGTTACTTGGTTTACACCAAACATCAGAAAATACTAACGAAGAGAATTTACTCATGGTTCTGTGCCATTAAGAAAATGAAGCAACAGTGCTACATATTGATGCCTTATTGAAAAATGACTAAGACATTAAGAAAATGTCTTAGTCACAGACATATCATGTTTTAGGTTTGTTTAGGTGGCAATTAAGTGGGTTTGCTCTTCATATTTTTATTTCGGATTTGAAAAGATGGCAGGAAAGAAATCTTTATTGAATAGACCAGTATTGATGGTAATCTTTTTAATTAATACCTCATTGAAAAATGACTCCTGAGGATCTTGTCATTCCGAATGGAAAGGAAAGTTACTTGCCGCAATGCCACGGAGGGGTTACTGATAGTCTATTGATGTCATTATTTCTTTTCTAATTCATCATTTGGAACATTTCTTTATATTTAAGCCACAACTTTATTCTATATAAATTCCCAAAGTCAGTAGCACAACAAGAATGAATAGACACCTCATAATAAGTAACAATCATAAGGTGGGTAACGATTTGTTTAATCGTCGTATTAGTTAATCCATCGCCATTATATAATTTCCTAAAGCCAGCCGAATTACAGCTACGATGTTATTTAAGAAAGTAGAGAAAATGAACAGAAAAAGGAGTTGCAACCACTTGAAGCTGAAATACCACCAAATTCTCACCAAAACCTCTAAAATAAAGAAAGGTAATTCCTCGATCCTCACCTTCTCTTTCATCGAATTGGTATAGTTGTGGATGTATCGTGTATGTATATAAAATCCCAAGTCTAATATAAAAAAGCGAAGACAATGATGTGCTATCCATCTCTCGCTCTTAACGTAGAAGTTAAGAAATTATTATAGCTTCCTAACAATCATGCAGTGCCCACCAGGGCCAACTCAGAAAGTCATAATGCAGTAATGCACCCTCACCCCCAGGCCTGGCCAAGAGGGCGTGGTTTTCTTTTTGTATTACTCAGTCTTCACTCTCATTTCGGCAAACATACGATGCCTGAGATAATAATGTGGACATGAAAACCAAGATATATATTTTGATGAATATCAAATGCTACAATGAACAAATCAGATATTAAGAAATTCTGTTTTTTTTTTCCATTTTCATCAGATACTACTAGAAGTTGGTTGAAAATAGTTTGATGTCTACATTTCCAGTCTTTTAGAAGCTGATTTACCAATTTTTTTTTTTTTTTTTTGGGGGGGGGGGGGGGTTGGTGAGGAGGAAAAAACTTATGACTTATAAGTTGACTTGAACAATTAAAACTGTAATATGCTATGTTTTTAGAATTGCATTTTCTTTTATAAATATTGATGTTTATATTAAATTAAAGAAATGATAATGTTTTGTAGAATTCCACGCCAAGAAATCACTGGTTGGCTAGATAATTAATTTACTTATTAGATTAAAACTGATTAGTTTGGTAGGATAAAAACGACTTTTACATATTGTCATTATTGCACTCCGTCAAAAAAAAAAAAAAAAATTGCAATCGTTAATTATTATCTACAAAGGCAAGGTAAAAGATATTTGTTTGCTATTACAGTTTTTTTCTTTTTTCTCCAGAAACCAAGCCATTGAATTTCTTTCTTTCTTTTCCCTATATAGTTAATTATTTATCATGTAGTTATACATTAATCATTGTATTATACATATCCTAGAATCTCAATCCACCTAATTACAATTTTAATGCCTCTGAATAAATCAATTATATTTGCATTCAATAATTTGTGGGAATTAATTAATCAACCATCTAATAATTAATTTATTAGTCAGTAGCACTACTTAAATTACCAAAAAAAAAAGGGAGAGACAGCATTGCTATATCAAACCTGTACACAAAAAATAAAAAAGGGAGTACACGAGACATCAAAATCAACATCGACTATTTTCTTTCCTTGATTAATTGCTCCAAACCTACAAAGTTCCTATTTAACACCATGAACATTAAACGTAATCTCAAAATAACAAAAATGAAGCAACCCTTCACTGCTTCTTCTTCATCTTCTTCTCCATCTCTAATCAGAAAGGCCCGTCTCTCTCCTCATCTCCTCACTCTATTGGCTTTCATTGTCTTTGTTGTCATTCTTTATGGCGAGGACTTCATGTGCCTCCTCGGCCAACTCGACCCCAACCTGGACCGGATAGCTACCAGAATCGGTGAGTTGACTTGATCGGTGGATATCAAATTTCAACTCTCTTTATTTATATATAATCCGTTTGCTTTCCCCAAAAAAAAAAACGTGTTTTTCTGTAAAAATGCATGGTTAACTGAGATGGGCTATGTCATGTTTTGGGGTTAGAGAAGAAGTGGGAGAAGCTACCTTTCTCGATAGGGAAGACCCCAGAAGGTTGTGACTTGTTTAGTGGGAGATGGGTGTGGGACAACTCAACTCGACCACTTTACGAAGAATCGGAGTGTCCGTACATACAGCCACAGTTGACATGTCAAGAGCATGGCAGGCCTGATAAGGATTATCAACATTGGAGATGGCAACCTCATGGCTGTGATCTTCCCAGGTGATTAATTAATTTGTTCCTTTTTCTTTACAAAATTAGCTGAATTGCATGCAATGCAATTGTGAATGATTAATAATTTTACCGTTTTAGCAAATTACGTTTTAATTAAGGATCATACTGATGCCTTTTTTATTTTAAGTTCCCTTTAAACCTCACATATCATGTCATAAAATCTTGCATGGTTGTTTTGCTCATGCGTATTTGTAGAAAGATAATATCTGTTCATCATTACCTTACAATTAGAGAAAAAGGGATTAGTTGGTTGATTAATTGGTTTCTTGATTAGCTAGGAGCTAAGGAGAGACCCTGTCCATTTTCTATATGCTACCTAACTCTGAATGTTTCTTGAATGGAGTAATTAATTGTTAACTGGTCCAAATATTCTTAATTTTTTAGCATGCCAGCCGGTTAATTTGTTAGCTTGACTCAATATTAAAAGATGCCGGCCAGCCTGATCACTGATGCGTGGTGTATTGGTATAGGACAAATGTCAAGTACCCCTATAATTTTTTTTTCAATGTTATTTATTGGGTCGAAGAAGTCCTATTGAATCATGGATTATTCGAACTCGAGCCAAAAATTTCTTAGTTGTCCCCCTAAAAAAAAACACTTGGCGATTGTTGGAACCCTCTATGAATAGATGTGGCTATGTAAGTGCTACTGTTCCTATACATACTTCCAATCCTCTTGCTATTTTTGCTTTCATCTGGGCCTTGGTGTTTTGCTCAAAATTTGGCGATTTTTACAGATCATCCATCACGTCATTGGTTAATCAACATGTTGATTAATTATAAATAATTAAGATTCTCAATAATACTCATAATCGTGTGACTCACGAAAGAAAAAGAATAATAATTTGATCGTTGACATTAATTCTGCTTCTTTTTCTAGTATTATTTTTGTGTTAAGACTTCGTCATTATTACTAGCCGTTTTGATTAATTTCCTTTGAAATATTCTCTCTGTTTTTTTTTTTTTTATACATTTCCTTTGGACTACAGTTCTTCGTTTCTCTTCTTGCATAATAATAAACGACATTCCGTTTTTTTTCTATGCATGGATTAAAATTTTGAAGTTTAAAACTATAATTTTCCAAAAGTACACCATTAACTGACCAAACTTTTCTTTTTCTCAACTATTTCATATTTTCTTTAATGTTTCCTTCCAAAACCTCATACATGTGATATTATTTCATTAGGGAAAAAAAAGTTTAAAAATCTAAAATATTCAAGAATTTTTTTAAAAAAAATTAAAAATATGAGATTGATATTTGGAATTTTAAATTATACAGGTAAAATGGAACATTAAATAATCTACAGGAATTAATTTGTAGTTTATCCTAATCCTATCACCGTTTCTAATTTCTGCACCAGTTTTACCTTTAAACGGGCTTGAAATTAGTATGGGATAGTGAAGACTGCCCATAGTGCTTTGTGAGGAGGCCCATATTACTTGTCCCTAATGTGGGTCTTTCATATATTGTAATCAAATGGGCCGGATTCAGTAGTTTGGGTACAAGGTGTATTTCTTTCTTTTTCTTTTGTTTTTCTAACAAAATAACTATTAACTCTCCATATATATATATATATATCAGCAATAAAAAAATTACACAATTTGTGAAGTTTTCTTGCATTAATTTCAGTTCAATGACCACAAATATCCACACCATGTTATTTACTCATTTGATCGATATTTTGATTTAAATCATTATTGATAACAATATTGAAGCTAAAATTTTTGGCGTGTAGATGACAATGCTTTTGTCTAATATATATGATGCAGTTTTAATGCGACACTGATGCTTGAGACCTTACGAGGAAAAAGAATGATGTTTGCTGGCGATTCCTTGAACCGGGGTCAATATGTCTCCATGGTCTGTCTTCTCCACAGACTCATCCCTGAAGACCAAAAATCCATGGAAACATTTGATTCTTTAACAGTTTTCACTGCCAAGGTGACATAAATTAATTTTCTTCTCTCGTTTGCTTCACGATACTACTCAAAACCAAAATATTAAAGCTTACACACAAAAGTAACCTTGTTTATGTTTGTACAGGAATACAATGCAACAATTGAGTTCTACTGGGCACCGTTTCTCCTTGAATCAAACTCGGATAATGCTATCATTCATAGAGTATCAGATAGAATTGTGAGGAGAGGTTCAATCAATAAACATGGGAAAAATTGGAAAGGCGTTGACATTATGGTCTTCAATACTTACCTATGGTGGATGACTGGTCTCAAGATGAAAGTCATGTAAATACTTGCCTTCTACTCTTATTTTGTCACGCTGTTCTTTGGTTTTATTAGCTTGAGAAATTAAGGTCTAACAGCTTATGTTTTTCAGGCGAGGGTCTTTCGAAGATGAAACGAAAGATATCGTAGAGCTGTCGACTGAGGATGCTTATCGTATGGCGATGAAAAGCATGTTGAGATGGGTGAGAAAGAATATGAACCGCAAGAAAACAAGGGTCTTTTTCACCAGCATGTCACCCACTCATCAAAAGTAAGGAGTCTGTCCCTCTTCTATTGTCTGATTATGTTGTAATATGCATCAGATTCATTATAGAAAACAGACGAACAAGATAAGAGTGTAAGACAGCATAGAAAATTACATCGGTTTAGGTTATCTAGACAGGGGACTAACATTTGAAGTACTTGGGCAGAAGCATAGATTGGGGAGGCGAGCCGGGTCGCAGTTGTTACAACGAAACAACTCTGGTTAACAATGCCACATACTGGGGATCGGATTCCAGGAAAAGCATAATGAGAGTAATTGGAGATGTGTTTAGCAAATCAAAATTCCCCATCACATTTCTCAACATCACACAGCTCTCAAATTACCGCAAAGATGCGCATACCTCAATATACAAGAAGCAATGGAACCCATTGACTCCTGCGCAAATTGCTAATCCTGTTAGCTATGCAGATTGTGTGCATTGGTGTTTGCCTGGCCTTCAAGATACTTGGAATGAACTCTTATTTGCCAAGCTGTTCTACCCTTAGCATACACTCGCAACTCGTTGAATCCTCCTTTTTATTTCAAGTACTGGGAATTGATGTTTGTACAGAGTGATCTATTGGGAAATTGGGATGCATGGGAGAACTGGGAAGGATGAGAAAGTGCTTAAAAAAAAAAATTAAAGATGACCATATGTGTACAATATTGTTGTAAAAGAAAAATCACAGGAATATTGAATTGATTTGTTCTAAATGCAAAGAATTTCTTGTGTTGTATCTCATATTTTAGAAATTACTCTTTACATCTTGAAATTAGAATAGGTTTCCCTAAATGCAAGATAACAATATTATCCATCATCGATCATCCCTGAAAACACGCCTCTTAGGCTAAGAGTCTTAGCCCAACCCAACACGACGCACCTTCCAACTCACCAAGCATTCAATCTTCCCCGTCCCATGTCGATCTACCCCTGTAAGGATGTCCATCTCCATTTCGAAGCTGCTTATCATTCCTCCACCTCTAGGTTGTGTTTCCATGTGTTAAAAAAAATATATATAATAATTGTTTTATAAAAAGTTTCTAGATACCAGAAAACTAAAGAAAACTTTACTAATAGAAAATAAAAACCTTTTTATTTTTTACTTTTCAATTCTTTGAAAAATATCTTAATAGTTGCTTTTCAAATTCTCCAAGTTAAAAAATAAGGAAATTATATGATTATATGATTCACCTCATGTTTTATGCCTTTTTTTATTATTATTTTTAAGGTACTCCAAATAAGATTCTTATTTTTTATCTTAGAAAATTTTAAAAATTTAAACTCAATAAACAAGTTCTCTTGATTTTTTTTATAAAGAAATATTTTGATAATAAGTAAGGAAATTAGAGATGAAAATTAGAAAACTATTTTCAAAAAAATAAAAATAATAGTTAAGTTGCCATTTAAATATACATAAAGTCATGTTTACTTATTTTGATTTTAATAGCTTAGACTTAAAAAATGCTGTGAAACATAATAAAAAAGAACATAAGAGAATTTCGTCTCTTTAAAAATCAATCTGATCTGTCATCCACAAGCCCTTTCGAAAACATCAAATGATGAATAACAGACTGACATTATTTACGTGTAAGGATGACACACATGAATTGAGAAATAGCATTGTAACATCTCTCTTCATTGCTCTTGTCCTAAATGGGGAAAGTAAATTCTTATCGACCTGGAAGCATCTTTTCTTTTATCTTCTTCACTGTGATAGATGATTTGATCATAATCTTAATTATCTGATTTGTATTAACGAAGAGTGTTGGTAACTTGTATATGTGGGTCATTTAGGCGAATTTCTTCAAAGTGTCCTTGCTTTGTTAATTTATATGGATAATCAATACGGTGGGATGAAGCCAAGGGGAACAGGTATGGCCCTGGCTCCTTAGCCATGATTTTTTTCTGCCTTCTGGCCTTGATTATATGGTATATTTGGCCTCCATTTTTAAGTATTTTCAATTTCATCTCTATTTTTTAAAAAAATTAAATAAATTATCCCTTCCAATAAAAAATTCCTTAACACATTTAATCCTCAAGAATTGAAAGTTTGCTTATCCTTGTTACGAAAGGTGGTGGATCTAGCCTCTCTTTTTTTAGATTTACGGAGATTTGCTTCTTTTTAGATTTATTAGATTTAAATTCTAGGACTCAGATAATTTATTAAAAAAAATTTAATGCACTAGGTCTGATGTGGAATGCGTTTTTAAAATCGTCCGAAGAGAAAATTAATCTCAATTGATTTGTTAGTTTACCCGAATATATTTTTACAGTTAAACTAACAAAGAGAGAGAAAGAGAGAGTATTATATATATATATATATGTGTGTGTGTGTGAAAATTATCCATCAATTTTCATCCCTGAAAAGTGAAAAGACAAGGTCCTGTTTGTTGAGCGACGATTAATTCTGGACATTAACATGACTGTGGCCCTATCGCATAACTTATTGATACATAACTGACGAGGCCTTCTTCATCCCCTCAAACGGTCATTTGGGGCTAAATCTTCTTCAATGAAAAACAAAAATACAAGGATGGCCTTTTCTTTTGCATCCAAATCGGCAGTAACTACCGTCTTGATTTTGTATGCGGTCGCGTATAGAATTTGACAAATTCACAAGAACGGTATTTTCTTTCTTTCTTTTTGATAAATAGTTTAATGAAGTAACCAATCAATGCTGCGCAATTAGAACAATCAAAGTTGCCTTTGATACGAGGGAAAGATTTTAAGCAAACGAGAGTGATTTATTATTGGAGTAATTATTACACAAGTAAATGAGCTTTTAGCTAGAATTGTTTGGTAGAAGGTTAAAAATGGAGTCAATTAATTAAATACTAAATAATGCATTAAATAAAATCCCATTAACAAAATGCGGGTAAAAGAGGAAAAAAATGGATTATAATTATTTTTTTGGGTTACCAAAGTAGATTATACGTTTGAGATAAACGAAAAAAAAAAAGGCAAAATAAATTAAAGTTTTTCCCCTAAAATTACGCCCTCTCTATCAGAGTCAAAATTTATCCCAATTTGCACCATAATTATGGAGCAACTTAGAGAATTTTTACTGAAGAAATTTTATAATATCCAAGAGATAATTAGTGTAAACTATGATATAGAGAGATAAATAAAAAAAATAGGATAGAGAAAATTAAAATAATTGAGTAAATGTAGAAATCTTATTATCACTTTTGATGGGTCTAGAGGTGAATTTTTTTATGTTTCTATCTTTTTTAAAAAAATAGACATATGAAGTAACTACTATATATGTACAATAATTATTCATTGAGTATCATAAAATTTCTCGAGTAACTTTAACCCCCCTAAGTAATTTTTTGGGTTTTAATATTAGTCAAGTGTTTAAATTTCTCTAAGTTGGCATGGTAAAGAAAAAAATAATTTCTCTAACTTGGCGTGATAAAAAAAAAAAAAATCTCTAAGTTGATTTTCGAATATATCACCTATGATCAGGTTGTTGAATTTACAAAAAAATTCATATCTCCTCAGTTTTTTTTTTTTTAATTTGTAATAAAAATAATAACAGGAAAGACAAACCCTCTTGCTACGTAATTAGATCAACACTGTTTATATAATTGGACTCCAATACATACACACCTTATAAAAAATCCTTTTAGTTAATTTTTGGATATTATTGGTTACGCAACTGAATTTTCCTAAGGAGCTTAAAAAAATGCTGCAGTTGAATGCAATAAAAATACAGTCAACAGTAATCAGGTTATGTCAATATTGCTCCTGCTATTTGAACTTGATTAAAACTGTTCAATGTTTTCTCACAAACAACATAATTAACCCCGCCGCTGCATTCATATAAAAACTCTTAATGCCTCGTTAAAGTGACCAAACTTGCTTTATTTCTCTCCAAGACAAGCTACTTTCGGTGCCTTGTTAATTATGTCTGGGCAGCCCAGTGCCCCTAAGAATATTTTCGGCTTCATGCTTGCCGAACCCTACAGCATATTAAATAGGCTAGTTGATGTTTTCTGAGTTCACCTCGCTTGAATTTTTCATATATATATATATATATATATATATATATATATATATATATATATATACAGACGGTACTCCTGATTTGGTTGAATGCTTATCAATACAACACCCATACGTAACATATTCATGAAGTTTGAGAAACCTATATCAGAAGTTAAGTGTTTTATTGGCCTAATTAATTAAACATCAAACCATCATGTAAAATTAACCGAGTAACTTTTTTTGTTCCGCCTCAACGATATCCGAGGCAAATTGTAGGGACTGTCAGTACTTGAAGTTGAAAGTTAACAAAGACAGGTAACAGTTCTGAATTCTGATAGCTATGCCGGGGAAAAATAGCTAAAAAGATGATAATTTGGGTTTACAGTGTGGCTTAATAAAAATATTTAACATTGTGAGGTCAAATCATGAGGGACAACCGATGGGTGGCTTTGATTTGTTTGTTACGGGCGGCCAAGGTACAATAAAAGCCTGCTTGCCCACTTGCATGCCAACTTGCCGAACAACATTCTCAGCAAACAACACAAGGTCCAGGAGAGAGAGAATATAAAAGGGAGCAAAAACTACAAGTTGCCTATGTTTCTAGTAAAAAGTATACTATAATTAAAATCAACTTGCACAGCACCTGTTGATTCTCCTATCCAAGAAAGAGTATGTTAAATTTGTATTCAACCTCTCCATCAAAAATATTACTAACACAGAAAATTCCCAGTTAGGGTTTCATAATAAAGAGGTTTAAACGGCTGCGATTTCTTTATAATTTCTTGCTTAAATGGATAAGAAGTTTCCAAGAAAAATAAAATATCACTGCCGAGTGCAGAGCGCAACGAGACCAGTAGCTACTAGTACGATAATTACTTTCATAAAGGAGTCCATTGGTGATAATGTATCGGCACAAGGATCAAGAATTTAAAAAATTAAATAAACCGAACATAGCCGTACAGCATATTTTTTATCCTAATCACCACTAGTTAGACTTTACATCTCCTTGACATTGAAATAAAGCATACTATATCATCAATGTCAGGTAAACATCAAGTTGGAAACCACGTTCAACACCAACTTTCTGTGCTTCGGACTATATAATTATGACTGCAGTTCCACGATTCTGTCTACCATCTTGTCGGCATACGTTACAGTGCTGCAATTATTTACATTTTGATCATCGCCACCACCAAGCTGCGAAGATCTCACTTCAAAATTTAAGTTTTTTAAACGAAAATCAGAATATGATTTATATATTATTTTCTAAAACATTACCAGATAAAAGTCTCTTGAATTTAAAATTTATACAACCCACCAACACTGCCTCATATTCTATCCATATCAATCAAGAGAGAAATAGAAATAATGAAATTCAAACTCACCACCGCATAATACCTCTCACCAAAAGTTTCACGATTCTGTCTATCATCCTATTGGCGTACGTTACAGTACTGCGATTATTTACATTCTGATCATTGCCACCAATCAGTTGAGAAGATCTCGCTTGAAAATTTAAGGTTACAGACAAAAATCAGGATTTGATTTATATATTATTTTCTAAAATATTATTGAAAGCATTTTGAACTTATAATTTATACAAACTCGCACTGCTTTATATTGTATTAATTAAAAAAAATAAAAATAATAAAATTTTAAAAGATACCTCACCAACAATTTAAGTTCTCAAATAAAACTCCAATATATGATTTTTATTATTCTTGAGCACCAGCTGTTCAATGGCTAATGTTCCCAGTAGAAATTCACTCATAATTTTCTCACAAACGACAGAAGATCAGTTGAGACACATTAAGCATCGTATACAGCATTGCCATCAGCATGGAGACATTTAATTAAATTTATAGAGCAATATCCATTGTTTCTCACAGAAATAGAAATGTAATCTATTGCATAGCTTGGTGATAATTTTATTTGTCAAAGGAAATACCCGTGCTAACTAGGGTTGATAAAAATATAGACCTTCTTCTCTTTAACATATTTCTTGGAAGAAAGAAAACAAATACATAAAACAATAAAGAGGGCCGATCAAAAAATAAACTAAACCGGTGACAATATATTCACAACTATTGATAGTCTTTGTACCCATAATTTTGTTCAAGGGAGAGCCTTTGAACTAAAAAAAAAAAAGAAAAAAAGAAACTAAGAAAGGGCATACAGAGACAATCAACAATTATAAATTCACTTTGATTAATTTATGTGCTAATGTAGTACTTAGTAGAAGCAATTAATCTCGAAGGGAAAAAAGTTGACATGTACAACATCAAAATCAAAATATACCATCACCTTCAAGCGCTATCCACCTAATCTATGAATTTCCCATCAGGGCATCGATCGATCAAGAGTCCACGATGAACATCGATATATCAAACCCAAATCGGAAAAAAAAAATCAATAAGCCTCAATCAAAACAAATACTCAGGATGTTGTTGATATCTGGTTATTCCTTGACATGTTCTCAGCAATCTGAGCCAAAGACTGTAAGTTGCAACGTACAATCGTGTCAGCAAAAGTACAGGTATCCTCTTTAGTATTACCAGCTGGTACATCCACGACGTATGATTCAACCACAACTGTCCCATTCCCATTTGGAGAATTATGAAGCGAGGTCACAGACCTGTAGTTATTTAGCCTGTGAACGCCACCGACCACACTGAAGCTCAAAACATGTTGTTCATCGTCAAGAATTTCAAGCCTCTCCGTGCTTGATGCTGCAGGGAGGCCAGACACCACGTGCACCTCCCTAAGGGAACCAACGCTGCCGTCTCCGTCGATGACATGGCAGCTCTTGACGAAATGCTTGTAAGCTTGAGGGTTATCAAAACGACGGACTACAGACCAAACGGTGGAGACTGGTGCATTTATGGTCTGGACCACCACGGAGCAGCACTGGTTGGGCCCCACTAAACGTGTGTGGTGGCAAGAAACGTAGTCAGGTACAGAAGCGTCCCACGTCAGTGGGACTCGCCATGTGTTCACGGTGGTTTGTGATTGTTTGTGGCGAGTAAGGTTTGTTGTTGTGGTGGTGTAGATGGTGGCTCTTTGGAGGTGTAGTGATGCAGGCATTTTTATATTTTTCGGATTTTTGTTATTACTGCCTTTTTGGCTTGTTTTTTTGGAAGATTGGTTAAGCTTAAGATTCATTCATGGGTATATATGCATAGCTAGAGAAGAGGGGATTGGGATTTCAGTGTTTTTTGTTGTCCACTTGGATTAGTTTGATGTTTTATGGTAGAGATTTAGTTTGGTGTGAAAAATATTTTGAGGGTGATATTATCAAGCAGCATATGCAAGACTAGGCAAGTTGATGCTCAACTTGCAACGTCTTTGGACTTAGTTTAGGTATTTATCCCATTATTTAATTCAAACTACAAGATTGCCACTTTCTTCATGCTATTTGTTTGGTAGGTGATCCATATATATATATATATCAAAAATAAAAATAATTCCATGAAGTTAGAAATGGATAAATCACTAAACTTTCTCCAAGAAGAATCTAGTTAAATGAAAGGTCTAACTAAGAAGATCGACAAGCCTTAGTTATGTGAACAGATTAAAAGAAACTTAACATGGTTCAACTTCATCGCAAAGACGCAGAGCCAACTTTTTGGGGTTGCAGCCCTCTATCTATTGCCTAGGAAAATACGATACCCTTAAATTAATTTTTGGTTAATTTACAAGAGATCATGATCATCTTTTGCAAACAGATTAACATGGAAGTTGGCAAAAACCTGCAATTAAAAAAAATTAGTGTGTATATATATTGATTTTAAAATAATATATTAAATTTATTCAAATACAATAGATCAATATGAAAAATATATTGAAAAAAAATTTATTCTCATTTGGGATCAAAAGTTATTCAAATATACACACCTCTTGTCTAAAAAATATATTTATTTTTATTATATTATTAGAATATATATTTTTAAAAAAATCTTTAAAATATTAATATTTTAGATTAGATACAAAAGAAAATAATTATCTAAAAAAAAATTGTGTTCACAAGACTTAGTACATGCATTTTTAATGCTAAAATACCATCTATTTGCAGTGCTTTAATATTGAATTAAAAAAAAAATTGGTGGCTTTTTTGATAGACGGAAAAATCTCGAGGCAATAAGACGCACCGACTCAAAATTTTTGATAAATGGCATCCCAATAGATTAATAGATGTCGTTTTCTTTGGGCAATCTTAATGATGGTTCTTGCTTTCTTAAGGGTCAAATCTATCGCGTTCCTTTTTAATTTCTGTTTGAACGATGATTGGCTGAACAGAGCACTAATTATCACCAATGACGGGCCTTCGATAGGAACCCCCGACCATATGAACCAATTTTTTGACAAAGAAATGGGTTGATTAAAAGTAATGGTGTTGAGCTTTTAATTTTTGACCAATGCATAGCGTTAACAATTTCCGTTAAATAGTTTATGTGGGATTAAGATTCTCCGACACTCATACAAGAAGCATTTTTTAAACACTATTCAAAATGGGATTTTTGAAAAATTAAAAGTTAACCAATTCATTTTTTTTTGTTAGGTAAAGATAATCTGTTGATAATAATAAAAAGATCACGTGTTTAAATTTTAATATTTGTTTGAAATTAAATTTATTTATAAATTATATCTCATACAAAAAGTGGTCAAGTTATTATTATTATTTTTTTGTTATGATGGTAAAATTAATCACTTATCATTATAGATATTAACTATTAAATTTGCCCTCCCTTTATTTTCTTTTTTTTTTCTAAGAGGAAATACATACTTAATTTGGTGCTTTTGAGTGTCGCTCAACAATGAATGTTTGGAGCACAAGTTACCAGACAACATTTACAATTATAGCCAGTGATGAATTCAAACTTTATAAGGGGGGATGTATACTTTCAATTTTTAGGAGAGGAGTGAATATTGTAAAAGAACGTTTATAAATTGAGGGATAATTTTGAAAAAAAAATAAAAATTCAAACTTAGAAGGGCCAAAAAGCTTACCCCAATTAGAATCTTTCACTGATGATAATAGCCATAACTAACAACTCCAACCATAAAAATCACTTTTAAAACCAACGAAGCCTTATAGTAATTTATTACCGATAGAGAGATGTTACAAGTTAAAATCAAGTAAAATTTCAAGCAAAAGTTGAATAAAATGGTCCTTCTGAAAATTGTTATAAACTGTTTCGTATATAGGATCCTCCAAGGAAAATTCAGAGGTATTTCAGACAGGAAATAAATGCAAAAGAAATTCTGACACCCAGTTGGCGTGTATAACGAAATATACATGAGTATGTGCAATTATGGATATGCAACTGGATTCGAATCGCATCATCCTGGTCGTCATCTGTGACAAAAAATTATTCACCTTCGTTGAATAAGAATTGCCCTTTTTCAAAGTTTAATTAAGTTGAATGCAACTCGAGTAATTAATCTGAACTTTGGTTTGAATTCAAAAGCACCAAAATATGCAAGACAATAAGGAAAATAAAGTATATGCTTCGAAAAGGAAACCCGAAGCGATGGTTGAAGAGTTTCTTGGCAAGGAAGGGGAAAGCGTGCAATAGTACTGCACTGCTACTGCTACTGCTACTGCTACAACAATCGATTTTGGCTGAATCGTCATCCCTATTCCTCTCTCACAAGCACATAAACACGATATGCTGAATCGACGATTGATTTTTTGGAATCCATTTGTGTGCTTTGGGCACATGGGTGTGTCTAGTTGTTGAACAGATGAGCAAGACTACAACTTTTTATCAACTTCGCTAGAAGGAGGCTAGCTAGGCGCCTTTTGTGGAAAAGTACTTCACAAGTGGTACAACCAATTAGGTGTTATACCATGAATATTATTTATATATATATAGATATTGTATAGTTTCGCTCAAGGTAGAAATGAACCGGAGGAAAACATGTGGAAATGGAAAACGAATGGAGGTGAAATTTAGGCAACTGAGAAGAGGCCTGAAGCAAGCTGTTTCTAAACACGTGATTGAAATTATTTAAAACTAAGCTATCAAATATATATACATAATGTTCTTCACAACCTGATATGATATTTAAATCTTAGTGGCTATTATTTTCTCAGGCAACAACATTTAACTGAAAGGATTAATTGGTCACTGAAATTCTCCTCAATTAGGTTAAAGAGCACCATCATCTCGAGATCAGTGAGCTAGTTGCATAATTTCAACCATCAAGTAGATGCTATATCGTATTTTATCTAACATTTTTGTGATCCTTCTAGAAAATGGGGCAAGTGGATCAGGCTCAGGGCTAACTAACTAGTTCTTTTCTACAATTATTTTTCTGGCTGCGCTATACGTACGTGAAGGGGTAATTCAATAACTTCTGACATCCAACTTGCAGCTTTATATAGTTCCCATATCAACTTTAATCATCTCTCTGCTCAACTAGCTAACTAGTTGAGGGATTACCGTTTAGTTTACTCTTCGGACAGCTTTTTAACTATACTTTTTTGTCCTTCCCTCCGTATTTCTTCTGCCATTCGTACCAACTTCCATTAATTAACTCGATTGTTTTTAAGTTGAGACTAACTCTACAGTTTTAAACAGGAAAGGAAAGGGAACAACGACTTTGTGCTCATATAGGAAGACCCTCTAAGTTTAAGGTTTCCTTATAATCAAACCTTAATTAAAGTTAGATTCCTTCCTGGTAACCGCCCTTTCAGCCAATTTGGTGATGGCTTTACAGCCACCACTCATAGCGTTATGTACCTACAGAACGGATGACGATAATTAATTTTTTTTTAAATTCAACAATAAAAATAACTTCCATCAGATTTATACATTTTGAGATTTATTTTAAGTGATTAAAGAGTATTCTTCAACACACAATTTTAAATATTTTAAAAATAAATTCTTAAAAATATTTATCATAAGAATTAAATTTTAAACTTGATTTTTAAATCAATACTTACTTACTAACAAACTATCACTTATAATTTATAATAATTAGTAATTAATCTCCTCCATATTATTAAGCGATTGGCCGATTATTTATCTTTACTTCTCTCTCCCTTGGCTTCAAGTATTTTCAAATGGAAGAAAACTACCGTTTACGTAGAATAATTAAGGGCAATAACTACTCCAATTTTTTTAGTACTGAGCATATATTAACCTTAGCTAGAAAGGTTCAAGTATTTATTTTTGCAGGCATTCAAAAGTCAAAACATCCAACTAAATTAAAAGTTGTATCAAGTATTAACCTAAGCATAGACGAGAAGTTTCAACCCCCCCTCCCGCCCGCCCCCACCCCCAAAAAAAAAAAAAAAAAGAAAGATATAGAACCACCTGCTACTCTCTTCATATACTAATGCCAATTGAAAGCCGTGCGGCGTATGTTGCAGCAAAAACATTCACTCAATCGTAATTAAAAATAAAAAAAAAACACCCAATTAAGCAGTACAAAAGATAGAGATTACAATTAGCTAGCTTTGGAAAGAATCAACAACTTCACTAAATCATATACAAAGGAGATTCTGAGTAGTGGCAAAGTTGACTCATTGGCCTAATATACTAAAGACGGATCCATGGACTTCCTAGTCAAGGAAACGAATTTGGTATTTGATTATATGTGAGAGCCGAATTGAAGTTTTAAATTTCTAAAATCAAGTTGAAATTGATGTTTATTTTAGTTTTGCCAACTTGGTATATACCAATGTATGTTTTGGTTTATAGAAGTATCTAATGCTTGATATATATATATGTATGCATAGTTGAGGTCATCTTTGAAGGGGCCAACAGTTTTTACAAGTTGATGATGATATTCCTGTTGGACCCAACCCACGGTTTTGGTGCTTAATACTACTTTAAAAATCTCAATCTCTATTAAAAAGAGCGAACAAATCAACGTTGGTAAAACCCTTTTTCGAGGACTTCACAATCAACACTTTAGTGTGGTGTCTGCTTGTGGTGAACATATATACCGTTGTCAACTTGCCATGCCGATGCCAACTGGGTTTCTCCTTTTAATATTATTGCAATTTCATTAGTGCCTTTGTGTGCGCTTGTATTTTGTTGGGAAACTCTACACCGGCCACCCATGGGCTCGGATATGGGCCTGCATATGTAAACATTTATACAAGTTAATATATTTCATCTACAATCCAAAAACAGAGAGTGCTGGGTTATAAATTCACTTATGTACAAAATATCCTTATCTTGTTTATTTTTATCGTGTTTTACAATCCAAATTTAGTATATATATGAAATCTTCTACTTTTTTATATATATATTGATTGAATTATTCTTCTACTCTTTATTTTGCACGATAAGCATTCTTCTGTCATAAAATCATGAGTTCATATGTCTACATGACACTTTTTTATTAAAATAAATATTTTATTTTGAAATTATATAATTAACGAAATAAAAAAATAAATGTGTGCAAATTAACTTACTTTTAATTAATTAGATCCCTTTAGGCTATTTTTTTCTTTGTTAACTTTTTTTTAATCAATCAATATTCACATCAACCGAGTAAATTTTTTTATAAAAAATAAATAAGAGAGTTATCGGATTAAGGATTATCAAAAATTCATTAAATATCTGATAAAAAAAATATAAACTAACAACACGTAAATCAAGGAATCCATTAAATACAAAACAAAGAATAGAATGACTCAATTAATACGAAAATTATGAGGTTCCAATAAATAGATAAAAATTAAAAGAGTGCAGACACCAAATATGGGCAAAATCCTTTCTTTCTTTCTTTCTTTCTTTTACTCGGTCAAAATACGGATAATCAACTCATATGCATATGTATTTCAACAATATTTCAGTTTTGTGAGTGTGGTCAATAAAATGTAACTCAGCTGCAACCTTTCTGACAAAAATAATAATAATCATAATAATAAATAATTATCTCAACATGCCCAGGAAATGGATAACCGCAAAACTTCCTTCTTGTTTGTGCAAAGGAAAATTACCGAAACACTAAGATCTCACAAAGGAAATGCCGGCAGAATCACCCCAAAGAACAAGCTCCATGCCAGGAGGAGGATGAGCACTCAAATAGGGAGTGGAGGACGAAGCAAATTATGTTAAGAACCCACCCAAAACGACACAAATTATGTAGATTCAGTAGGATAAGCTCATAGTTCACAAATGAAAAGAGACCAGATGCAGTAATGTGTTAGACCGAAAGTATTACGGTTGTCCTCACGCCCATTAATTTTAATCTCCAAATACAAGAAAGCCCGAACAGTAAAGCCAGAATCAAATTATTGGATTCAACTTCTTAGATATCCTATCCATTCAGAGGAATGAACTAGAATATAGAATTAGATAGGTAAAATTAAATTTTATCCAAAACTTTTTAATGAATGATTGAGATTTCCTATATTTTTAGTTGAGTTTTAGACTTTTTGAGATTTTGATAACATATGAACTTGGATAATTCGGATTTGATTCTATCCAAAAGGCGAAAGTCTTTTGATAAACGATCATTTCTCAACTTTATGTATTTAGTTTAACTACACAAAAAAAGAGTATAAGAGGCTTTCTTGTAATCGGTATGTATGATTAAACCGAAGCCAGTAATCATGGAGTTATTACTTCACTGATATATATATATATATATATATATATATATATATGTATATGTGCGCGCGCGCGCATAGGCAATCATTGATACAACTTTATGGATTTGTATGAGAAACCAGAACATAAAAGACAAATATGCAAAAGTAGATTACTAATGTAAAACAAAAGCATAAATATTATCAATGACTACAAGAAGCATTTCAATTATTAGAAGAAATCATGTCTAATGTAAAATGTGATCTCATGAAGCGTCAAAACAGAGAAACTTAATCCCAGTAATTTGTTAGATGATTCAGATACTTATTTCAAGTTAAAATGTAATTACCATAATGTTGTCAATGCAGGCAGGTTTAAAAGCACCAGATTCCTTAACCTAACATGTCCAGACTTATGTGTATGTACGCATAAGGTTTTGAACAATTTTTTCCCAATTCAATTAGGAATGTGATTTTTTGAATGATAGTTTAACAGCATTTGACAGAAATAAAGCAGTTCATTAAACTAAACAGGATCCGGATAACATTTATCTTGCTGAGAAAGAAACTGCTTGAACAGCCTGGACATGGAGCTTATTCTGAATGCCAATATGGTTCAGCAAGTTACTATATTTGCTGTTAGCTCCGTTTGCAGCAATTATTTGAACCTCCAAATCCCGGGAGAAGCATAAGCAATATTGAAGCCCTGATAACATAAAATGAAAAATAGATATAATGACTAAGCTAGAGAAATACGAAAAACACAAGGAAACTGTAACAAAACCAGGCAGTTTCTTACACTATTTTGATGAAGGTAGTCCCCAATCAACTTGTCGATGCCTTCTCATTCTTCATTATCATATGGAATGACTTAACCCGGTCCTCCTCCACTATCTCCCTTAATACATCATCCTCAATCTTTTCTGCTTGCCAACGAGAAGGGTCCTCCACAAACTCCTCGCTAAATATCATGCGTGACACCCACTCCTTCCATGCTGTCCTACAATACTTGTCTTCCTCAACTGTGCCTGTTGCTAGAAGCTGATACACATAAACCATCTTCTGTTGACCAGGCCGAAAGGCTCGTGCAATAGCCTGCTTTGTCTTGGAAGGATTCCACTCTGAGTCCAATAGAATTACCCGTGAAGCTGCTGTCAAACTTATGCCCTCGGCACAAGCTGTAATTGATGCAAGAAGAACCCTTGAAGGACCTCCCATTTCCTCAAACTTATCCATCACTCTTCCTCGTTCAAACAGCTCTAGGTCCCCTGTAACAACCAGAATTTCTTTACCCCGCTGCCATCTAAAGACATTCTCAAACAATTCAACAAATAATTTAATGGGTGCAATGTTGTGGCAAAAGATCAGAACCTTCTCATCCTTGACTACACGATATACAAGATTCAAAACAAACATCACTTTGGACCCCTTTTTGCAATCAAACCTTAACTTCTCGAGTTCTATCAATTCCTCCTGTTCATAGAACTTTTTAACACAGACAGAAGAATTGATCAAAGAAGGATGTATCGAAGCTAAAGTTATCAAAAGCTCTACTTCCAGGGGGTATCCAGGGCATTTTTCCATAATTTTGTGGAGTTTCACCAAAATCTCATGTTGTATATCTGTTGGATTCATTAAGATGGTGTAAATCTGTAGACCTGGAAGGGTGTCAGAAGCTGTGCCTTCATACACGTCAATGAATCCATTAGTCATGTTTCTCAGCATATTCAAACCCTCCATTTTCTCTTCAGCCTCGTCCGAATTGATTTTGCTTGAAATGTTATCTATGAAGAATTTTCTGGCACGAGATTCTAGCAAATGGCGTGGTTTTTGTGCCCCTTTCTTTTTCCTCTTAAACTTCGGGTCTAATACCTTCAGAACTTCTCTGATAAACATTGGTCTTGCCAGGCAAAGGGTGTTGAAATATTCACAGAAATTATTCTGAAACAAAGTACCTGAAAGCAATATTCTCAGATCTGTTTCCACTTTCATCAAGACCTTTCTCAACCTTGATTTAGTACTCCTTGGGTTGTGCCCTTCATCTAGCACCAACATTCCAGGACTCTCTCTTAGCACTCTAGCCATATATTTTCTGTGGTTGTACTTTGAATCTTCTCTCATTAATGTCAGAAAGGAGGTATAGCCCATGACAAGCACACTTGGTTGTGCATGCCACTTTTGCATTTTCTCCAGGCAATCCAAAATATGCACAACATCCCGGCTGGGCCTTGTACCTGATCCTCGAAGCGCCACTGGAGTCTGCCTGAAGACTCTAGAAGATCTAGTACCATGGATAAGATGAACTGGAACAGGAATTTCCCACTTGATAAATTCCTTGTACCAGGTATAGAGAGTTGTCTTTGGAGCAAGGACCAGAGGCCGTTTTCCCGGAAACAACTTCAAGTAGCTGACAAGGAATGCAATGATAAGAAAAGTTTTTCCAGCTCCAGGAGTATGAGAGATAACACAACCACCTATCTTCTTAGATGCTTTTTCCATACGTGCCGGCACCAAGGATCCAGCAATGTTCCGCCACAGAAACTCAAAAGCCTTTTTCTGGTGCATGTGTAATTTCGCTCTGAGCTCAGGGATTAAGTCCCACACATTGTCGTTCACTTCATAAGGCACGTCTTCACCTGGAGTATGATTGCCAAAACGATACAAGTCCTCATCTTCATCTGGCTTAAGCTTCATTTCCTCTTCATTCTGTGGCTTACTTTCTGCAGTCCAGCCTGTGTGCCCCATCTACAGAAATTAAAACATACATAGAATAATTAGAATTCTGTTTGAAACAACAACATTAGATGCTGACTGACAAAATGGTTGAAGCTGGACAACAGCAGTTGGAATCCACCATTAAATTACCCTACATAGGAGACTATGGTCAAGGACCAACCAAAATGCAGAGAGGTGAAATTCTGTACACATCACACAAGTATGCAATAGGAATATTCCTTATAGACTATTCCCTTATTATAGATAATATATGCCTCCCCAGCATACTCACTTGTTTATTTAGAGGGCACCTTAAAAGAGATATAGCAGCAACATTGAAAACACTTGCATCATGGGTTTCAAAAAATTTTGACTTACAAATGGTGCTGAAACATATTTTATTTCAGTTTTCACAAAGCCACATATGTGGCATAATATCCCAATTTCTTCATCCAGTTTGAATTCATGCTGGCAATATTCACTTGAGTTCTGTGTAGTCTGAGTGGAAACTCGAGCCTGAAAATCGTCAAACCAATCATATCACGTGATGAAGAAAAATATAAACAGTACAAGTGATATGAATAGTACAAGGAATACGCATATGCAAAAGTAATGCACCTAATCAAATCAAATAAGCAGTCATACCTCGTTATCTTCAAGAATATATGCTGATGCCAGGCATAGTTCCATTTCTCTCCACAACATTTCAGTTTCTGAGCATTCTCCATCATCCTCAACTGAAGATGGTTCCATTGTCTCCTTCCAATCTGAGCTTCGTTTTGCTTTAAACTCCTCCCACTGGTCAATAATGCCCGGTGCCTCCTTTGACTTGATTGTGGAATCAATGTTCTTCATATAAGAACTTATGATTTTATTGTAAGCACCCGCACTTAAGGCTGTCCTCTTGAAAGCCATTGGCTCGCAGGAATTATTTCTCTTTAAATGCGTGGATTGGTATCTTGCTCTTTGAACTTTCTTACTAGAAGATTTCCCACCCCATCCACTTCCAAACATCATATCTTCATCTAAATTATGCTTCCTTTGTGCAGCAGGAGAACCCTTTTTGCTATAAGAACTGATTGGAAATTCAATCAACTGTTGTGGATAATTTTCAGGAGTTTTCACAGGGGAATCAAATTGTTCGAAGGTTACCAGATCATCTTCAGTAGGCACGGGAACAATAGCAAGTTGATCTTGGTGTTCTCTTCTGTTAGCCACACTCAATTTAACCTCCCTAGTTTGAGTTCCATGCTTTTTTCTGTTAGCCACGCCTGATTTAGCATCCCCAAGTCGAGTTTGGTCTTTTCTTCGGTATGCCGGACCTGATTTTTGGCGTTCTCTTCTGTTAGCTGTGCCTGATTTTTGGCGTTCTCTTCTGTTAGCGGTGCCTGATTTTTGGCGTTCTCTTCTGTTAGCCACACCTGATTCAACCTCTCCAAGCTCAGTTTGGTGCTTTCTTCTGTTAACCACATTTGATTTAATCTCTCTAGAGTTAGTCTTGGTTCTGGAAACTGGTGGACCTTCCAAGAATAGTTTAGGAGAATTAACTCGCACTTCATTGCCAGGTTTCTCTTCTGCAAAACTTGCATCTGGACGTGTACCAAACAGGTATGCCAGTGGTAAGTGCATTTCTTCTTCCTCCTTCCATTTCAGTGGTGTGTATGGCAGGGATCTAACCCAGCCAATTTCTGTCTCTGAAGGAGTATCACAGGCAAGAAAACGCTGGGGTTGTACATTTTGACGCTTCGACCGCCTCAACTTCATAACATCATAGTGTGGTGATTGTTCAGTCCCATTTGTGTCACTGATAGGGCCTGAATCCCTACAAGCATCAATGGGATCCAACTGGACCACAAAGGGGGTTGAAATACCATCTTTTACTTTGAAAGTTACACAATTTATGTGATCATTAGCTTTTAGTGAACAGCGATCATCGTCACCGCCGAAAATTTGGTAGATTATTTTATTTTGGACTGATCTTACATCAAATGCAACTAGCTTCAGAACGGATGCTGCAAGCAGCCATGTAAGATCAGCTAAAAACTTCCCCAAAAAGAGTTTGCTTTTCTGTACTAAAGAACAGTCGTCACAGAATTCCCAACGGTAAAACTGAGTTTCAAGTCGGTTGTTGTCTGCTTCACATGGATCATTGTCAAGCTTCTGAAGGATGGAAATTTGGTCGATTCCAGCTGCTTCAGTTTCTTTACTGAGTGTTGCTCTCTCTGAACCAAGAGGACCTTGGTTAACATAGAGGTTAACAAAAAATTGGCATGAGCACTGAGATTCATGAGGTTTCCGCTTGATGGAACTTATCTTAGCATCAACCCACACCTACATGAGAAAGAGAAAATGGAAATCAAAGTAAATATGAGCACCATAACTTTTGAAATTTAACTATGCTGCAAAGTTTAATGGCAGCTCTTTCAAGCAGCAATCTGATTATGTATTGCATTGCCGATAGTGATATATATTATAGGAAGCAACTCAAAAACTCAATGTTTTGTGCATCATGACATGTATTTATTAGGCCATAACAATTTTTTTAAGCATGTTAAAGTCTTGTGCTGTTTTAAGAATGCAAATACTTCAAAACATTCAATAAGCAAGATTTTAATACTGTGCACCATCCATAATCCTTTCAAAGTTACAGAGCTTTTGGTAAGGAAGCAACATGAAAAGGTTACTCACAGGTTCTGAATTTCCTCCTCTGAACTCTTCGCACGCTCAGAGGATGAAAGCACACAAACATCAATACCAGGCCTCAGAAAGCAGGTGCAATCAGATAAAGTTGCTTTCCTCGACTTCACTCGAACGTTTGAGAAAGGACCCTTCTCCTCGATTTTATGATGACTATCGGCAAAATGCACAGTCATAGCCCCATCCCTGATTTCTATGAACTGCACGCTTTGCCAAGAGCCGCAGCATAAGGCCTCAAAAGCTATTAAATAGAACATCATTAGAACAATATTAACAATTTATTTATCTCAATAATGTGTATACAACTGTGATAAAATATTTCAAGAATCCATAGCCATTTGAAAATAAAATTATTCATGCTTTCAACAACTTAAATTAGGATATTCTTTACAATCAAATGCACAGATAATGGCTCCAGTTGAGTTCCTTGCAGCATAAATAGCAACAACAACTGATTTTGAAGATTAAAGAATATCTGAATTTAATGGTTTACTGTCAATCTGTCTTTTATGATTCCCATCTTTGCTCAAACATTCGGGGGCTCTGACAATTTAGCTATGAAAAAAATACATAAATGCTTATATAACTTCCACACGCCAACAACTTATGACAAGTGATACGTTAACCTATATTTACCGTAGACTCCTTGCTCAGAAACAACAAAAGCTTATACCTAGTTATTGGGGCTCACTCCAGAAGAAACAATAAGAAAATCATTAGAAATAAACAAACAAGAGAAGAGAAGGGAATTAAGAAGGTAATGCTTACGGTGTGCATTAAATGGATGCTTGGACTGATGCAAATGCTTTCTCTTCATTGTTAATCAGCAGAGAAGCCAATTCCCTTCAATAAACCCTGAAGTGATATAAAAATGACTGCTGCAACATATACCCAAGCAAATACATTCAACATTGTTCAAAAAAATGAGCTACATTCAACTTTGAACGCAATTCATGCACATGAACTACATGAAATTCCATCAAAGTAGCTTTCTTTATTTATTAATGCAGATTTGATGCAACAAGCTTTTACCGGTAGATCCCAAGTGAGTGAACAGGCCTCTTAGCCACACAGCAATGATCCAGGCTGCATAAATGAGGATTCAGACTATAGATGTGCGCCTTGACAGCTCATCCCAGACTTGCCCTTTTCCGCTAAGCTAAACTGGTGGGAATGACAAGTCCCAGAAAATAGGCCAGTAAGCAATCGCATTTAGTCTAGCGCTACACACCTCTGCAAAAGCAAGGACCGGAGAGAGTTGGAGTTTTACACTTGCCACTTTAAGAGCAAAAAAAATAAAAAGAAAAAGAAAAGACAAGAAAAGAAAAGAAAGATAAAATTGGCCAGAAATGTCATGCCATCATTATTGTTTTTGGTGCTATATTTTTTTTCAGTATAGTCAAAATAGAATTCAGTCTAGTGCTGTAATTTCAAGGTGAACCAAAACAATGCCTGCTTGCTTTTACTGAGAAATTTTTACATAAACCAGCTCGTCCACTGGACCAACACAATTTTAAGTGGCTGATTCATTAGACCCCACGGTTTAGAACTGTTTGGCGTGGTAAAAGTTAAATCAAGATAATGTGGTTGGTTTTGCGGAATGAACCAGCTCCATCAAGAGGTTGTCGCTTTTACCTCTGGGTTTCTAGTTCTACCAACTAGAAAAGCAGACGATAAAAAAAACAAAGAAATGTTATTTATACTACCAATGGTGACTTTCTTTTTCTTTTTCTTTTTTCCTCGTTATAGATCCATGATACAGTAAATTAATCGGCCATTAATCCATGATGTTGCATAGAAGACTTCTATGGTTAGTAATTAAGCAACAACATTTAACAGCCCACACAGCCACACTTCTTCTCCTCTCTTTTTTTCACTGGGAAAATGAGGAGAGGAAAAACCACTATTTTTCTTTAATCTTCTAGCAATCATTCACTGGAAGGCATGTTGCAAAAGTATCTCCTCTTTTTACCAAAATGAGTAACGAAATTATTAGTGGCGCGATGAAAAAGTTTGGTCCCGAACGGCTGTAAGTTAGCATCACATTTTCACGTGCAAACCAACCAAAAGATCATAAATGAGTTGCTTTACTCTTCTTGGCAAATAATACATGCCTCAAGCGGACCCATCAAAAAATGCAAAAACTGATCAACCAAAAAAAAATCTTAGAAAAAACTCAAGCTTAAACCAATCAAACCCCTAGTCAGCATCAGCTCTACATCAGAATGGAAAACAGAGCAGCGGATTGCTTCTAGAACCCGGTAAACATGCCACAACAAACAAGAAAAGGTAAAAAAAAGACTGGCAAAAAGAAACAGAAGTTATTATATTAAAAGCAGCTATACCTGAAAAAGAACTTCTGGGAAACCGATTAAAGGCAAATTCAGGTGAGTTATGAGGGGAGAGGGTAGATTCCGGCAAGGTTTTCAACGAGAAAGACACTGAGCCATGAAAAATGAAGTGGACCTAGAGATGTGGATACTCAGTAGTCAAGATACAGACAGTGGGGCGAAGAATTCTATAAGTGGTCTGAGCCACTGAGAATCTCGGGGTTCGTGTTATTGCATGAGTAAAATCATAGGTGTGTCTATTGGTGGTGGACCTGTTGCTCTGTTTGGTAGTAAATTCACAGGTTCGGTAGTATCTGCTCCACATACAGCGGTAACACAGCCAGATGTGTGAAATGAGGAAAAAGGAGAGTAGAATTTTTTCCTCGGTGTGGCTAACAAGCAAAAATGCATAATTAAATTATTTGATTGTTGTGATTACTTTTTATAGCTTGGGCTATAAAAATAGGATTTGATTGTGCTTTGAAGTATATGGTAAGTTGATAACGCTAAATCACCATAACTGACTTGAATTTCTAAGGCACCTTCGGCAAGGACACTAATGAAAAATAATAATTGAATCAGGTGATGTGAATTTGAGAAACTCTAAGAGACATGTGATTTTATATGACAAAGGGTGTTTTACTTCTGCAACAAATACGTATGGGAAAATGTACAATTGTCACTCTCATACAATTAGGTAAGACTTTTTATTATGATTACTAATATGTACAGTTAGTCATTTTCATAATTAAAAAAAAACTGAAATCGTTGTTGTAACCATTTAGATACATTAGATATAACTAGTTGGTTTTTTACGTTACGTTATAGATAAAATAAAATATATTTATTTTAATTTGATCGTCTAAGCTATATTATTGATCAATTAAAAAATAAAAAATTAAAAATAAAAAAAATCATCTAATTTTATAATTTTTAATCAAAATTTTATATTTTATTTATTCTTTTTTATATTTTCATAAATTTGTAATTAAAAAACATGATTTGTTTTTCATTGTGCATTATTTTTAAATAAAAATTGTAATAATTTAAATAAAAAACTAATATAAAATTTTAAAAACATCTTAATATTTTTTCATAAGATTGCATTGAAGAAAAAAAACAAAAATTAATATAAATATTCTATAAAAATTAAAAAATAAATTTTTTTAATGTTTGTTTAATGCTAATGAGAAGATAAATTTTTTCAAAGTATATATATCTCATTTATAAATATTTATTTACAGAATAATTAATAATATTAGTATAAAAATTATATTTGAATTATTAGGATGGTAGTTCTAAAACCTTATTTTAATTATTTTATTTGAAAGAAATTAATTTTAAAATATTAAAAAAATAATAGCAAATGGTTGGTGTTGTGTGTGAATACATGGTTAATTTTCACTAAAACCAATGACCTTATTTTTTTTCATATACATTATGAACATACTCAATAGGTCAAAAGGTGCAACGTAAATCAAAAAATATTTTTAAAAAAAAACTTAAATTGTAAGAAATATGTTGAACTCGGTAAAATGTAATAAAAACAATAACAAAATTAATTTTGATAAACTTTAATTATATAAAGAATAAGCAAATAAAATACGTGAATTTTATTTTTTAATTAATTATTTATTTTTATTAAAAAAACTTGTTCAAAAATCCGTACATAGAGAAAAATAGATCATATTTACTAACAAAAAAAATTACATAAAATATGAATAAAAATAAATTTGATGAAAACTTCCATAAAAAGGGCAAATTGTTAAATAACAAAAGTAATATATTTTGATATATATGTCCATTATAAATTTTAAAAATATATCATACATATTTCATAATTGCCAGCCCATGTGGGAAAAAAAAACACTTAGCTTTTCCTAAGTTCCGCATCGAATTCAATAATAAAAAGAAAATTAAAATAAACTGCTGAAAAAATACAAAAGCAAAAAAATGCATATATCTTTGGGAAACACCACGAATCAAAATAAAATATAATATAAAATTCTTATACAAAATTAAAATAAATTACTGAAAAAAAACAAAAGCAAAAAAAAATATATATATATCATCCGTAAACACTTGGAACTAAAATAGAATATAATGTAAAATTCGTATATGAATGCCCAAAATAAGATAAAAATTACAAAAATATCACTGTAGAATGAAAATAAATAATACATATGAGTCTAAATAAATAATGTGCACGAGTTTGAGTAAATAGTTTCATGAATAGTAAATCACCCCAACTCTTTTAGTTTTTTTATCGTGTAAAATATGTTTGAGATTGTCTTTTTATTTACAGCTACATCGATCAAACAATAAAAAATCGATACTTAATTAGTAATATATAATTAGTCGTTTTTCATAAAAAAATAAAATAAAATCCATATTGTAACCACTTAGATATATTAAATATAATGTATAATATATTTTGAATTATCATTGTTGTTTGCAGCTGTATCAATCAGACAATAGAAAATTAATACTTGATTAGCAATATAAAATTAGTCCTATTCATAAAAAGACAAAAAATAAAATCAATGTTGTAAGCACTTAAATATATTAGATATAAGCAAAACCTGTTTTAAATTAATTGTCGTTGTTATTTATAAATGGATCGATCACACAATAAACAATTAATACTTAATTGTTTCGAAAAGCATGTGGTAAACTTCATCAAACTATCCTAATAAATTTTTAAATCCAAATCTACAACAAACAATCATCCATCTATCCAGAAGATATATATATATATATATATATATATATATATATATATACACAACCGAGTCATGTAATATAATATAAATTTGAGAACGTCCAAGACACATAATCTGATATGAAAAAATATTATTATCATTAACTATTCATTTAAATTATATAAGTAAGGTCTAGTGCAAAAAACACGGTAGTCTTAAAATATCTCTTATATTCTGTATCATTACACAAATCACATGTACTTGAGTAGGTTAAGAATACATTTGGAATTGTTGTTAGCTTAGCTATTAATGTAAGGAGAAAAGCGATGCAAAAAGTTAAAACATGCTACTATTATGCATACACCCCTGCTAGGCTAGCAACATTTTCGGACTGGAATTTCAGAATTATCCTCAATAAATATATCTTTCTTTTTCTTCCTTTTTGACAACGAACTTTTTAATTTTCCCAATGCATGATTCTAAAAATAAATAAATAAATAATAAATAATCGGCATTATTAAATAGAAAATTTTATCTAAATTAAAGAAAACCAAAGAAGTTCTTTATGAAAAAGAAAAGAAAACTTGACAACGGATTAACATTTCCTTTTCTTTGAGGCTGCGGATTATGTTTATGTCGTAGCAAAAAAACATACTTTTTTTTAAAATTATTTTTTAACAAAAAAAAAATGGATGAAGGTGCAAATATTTTCGCATTCAAGTCCCCGTCTGAGGCGAACCATAGCCCACGGTGAAAAACTGAAAATCACAGGACTGTGTCCAATAATGAAACCTAAAAAAGGAGTTTTGCTGACAATCTCAAAAGCGTTCTGCGGACCCAAAAAGTCGACATCTTTTTCGAGATTTGTCGCCCTCCTCTCGACTTCTTGTGCTTTGAGCCACTAAAACGCTCACTTTGGGCACAAACAAAGACAACTGGGCTTTAATTATATGTAACAGAAAGAATTACGACGAAGCCCAAGACCATACTTTAGTGACCTTTATTTGTAGATAAGCCCATTATAAAACCGTGATAAACGGAAAATAAAAAGGAAAAAGTTTTGGAGCTCTTCGTTGGCCGTCGTCTGATTCTCACAAAACAAATCGAAGATTTTATTCCTTATAGCTTTTATTAGAAATCACTGCTGCAGCTCGAAAAGATGAACTATTTCTTTCTTGGTGAATTAGGCAATTTTAGATAAATGGTTGCTTGGTTTTCGATGGAATTTCTTTCTGATTCGAAGGGAGGGGAATGCATGGGTTTTAGGTCAATTGATGATCGGTTACGGTTAATGTATTAGTTTTACCTATCTTCGTGATTCCCTATTTTCTCATGCAAGGCAATACAAAATGGATTATATCCATCGATTCGAACTGTTTTACTTGCGACTCATGAACTTCGAGTTTTTGTTCCCCCTAACTGATTTTACTCCATTAATGAAAGATATCTCCGGCGACAAAATGTACAGCAGAAAGGCATGCTCCATAGTCAGAGAACATGGAAAGGGTAATCTTATTTTCAATCTGACATCGCCCGCCTTGGCATCCATGTCAGCCACCATAAAACGTATGCACCCATAATTTGTTCGAATAGCGTTTAAATAGATTAGTCTCTATATATTAATTACTGATAAAATAGACAAGATTAGCAAAGACTGCAAATTGTAACTAGCCCTGGACAATTAGAATGTCTGCAAGACCTGCGAAAACCATGCCAAAAATCTGAAATGCCCATTGAACGAATGGTAAAAGATCTCTAACTCTAGTTTGCTTGCATTAGTTAATAATTGACAATTGCTTTTCCATAGGGTTTCTAGTATACAAAATGCAAAACAAGAGAATAAGAAACCAGTTATACATTAACATTTATAAACCTTTAATCAGTACAAGCAAAAATGATACAGAGCTGTCAAAATCCTAAGCTGAAGTACCCTTCTGACCCTAGCACCTGCGCATCAATATCCCCTAAGAGCTCATCTACGTCAAAAATCTCATCCAACGAGTAGTTGTGCCAGTCATTGGTCCACACTGGATATTCTGATTGAGTTAACAACGGATTTTCTGATCCAATCTTTGGCTCATCCCTCAGCATGGTGTTTTCAACTCCTCGAGAACCATCCTCACCATGTTGGCTAAACTCATTCTGCCCAAAAATATCAGCTTGGCTTGATACATCCTTCCCACAAACCTCAACTTGGCTGAACACATTCTGCTTAGGATCCTCATACGCACAGACCTCAGAGTGGGTTGATGTTGTAACAGAGTCTGCAGGACTTGCTGCTGAAGAACAACAAGATGGTGTTGCTGAAGTGAAGTTATCCTTCGACGAGCTTGAAGAATTCACTGCATCAGGAATGTTTAAACGAGCATAAGGGCCGTACATAGCACGTGCAGCTTCATCATAGGCAAGAGCAGCTTCGTAGGCAGTGGGGAAAGTACCAAGCCATAGCCTAGGGCCTCTGTTTGGTTCTCGAATCTCAGCAACCCACTTTCCCCATGTCCTCTGCCTCACACCTCTGTAATTGCAGACTGAATTCTCAGGCCCACCTTTACCTTTCATGCACCCCTTCTTTGAGCCCTTGGCAGGAACTTTACGAGCTGGTTTATTACCTCCATCACCACCTTGAGAATCAAGATACTCATTATACTCCTTCCACTTTTTAAGGGTCTCAGCTACAGATTTATTACTTTGCCTTTTCCTCTTCTTATTAGAATCCATAGAAGTAGCGTTAGAACCTTGATCAAGAGTACCCATCTCCTCAATCTCAGAACCCAATAACTCCGATCCCAGTACTGTCAAACTACAAGTGTTTCAGAACCTGCAGCGGATAGGCAAGTAAAATTAAGCACCAATGCTCACAAACTTGAACAGGAGAAACACAAGAAAAACAACAAATCTCAGCTTCTCCAAACAGTAAGACTACTACAGCTAATGTTTGATATATATAGAGACAGAACCAACTAATCCTTATCCTGTCAGGTCAACAAAATTACTTGCTCCCCAAGTTTTCTCTACTTAGTTCTATTTTACACTTCCCTGCTCTGGGCAGGTGGTTTTTTTAACTAGCAAGTAATAAACCTCTTATCAATTAAGGACTTTAAAAGAGTCGCTATCATTGCGCACCACGGCAAGAACTATCCACCAAGTAAATTAATAAATCCAAACAGTAAGAAAAATTCTATAGCCATACAAACCCACAAGAGCTTAACAACGACAATCCAATTTCTAGCACAAGAATTTACCACAGAACAAAACAACAAATAAGTTCTGTAACACCTCACAATTCCAAACAGATTTTTAACACCCAAAATTTCTTCCAATTATACTAACCCCCAATTTGAAACCCTAACCCTGAGAGCGAAAATTCACCGATTAGACACCACGGAAAAAAATTATCACCAATTAAACAAGACCCAGGTTCCCAATTCGATCAATCAAACCCTAGAAACCAAAAAAGAAAAAAATAATAAAGATCAAAATTTCAAAAAACCCTAAATTGAGATCAACCAACTAACCTGTCAAAAAATGGGCGAAGAAACTCGCTTCCAGATATCAAAATCTTCAAGAACAGACACGAATCACTTAAATTTCCTTGTCTTCAACTTCTAATTCTCGTTTGAATTTGTTGTCGTTTGATGATTTCCCTTTCTTTTTAAACGCGATTGTATTTTTTTTTCTGTTTCGAGAGAAGGAGAGAGAGAAGTAAACTTTTTAAAGAAGCAAAGAGGTCACACACAGCTTTAATTGATTAACAATCCAGAAACCTTTAGAAAATTTAGGGTACCGAGATATTTATAACCTTTCTCTGGATATTTTTGGAATTCCCTTTTATTGATGACGTGTCAGTTTTTGGAGTTCACTAGTTGCGCTTCGTCTCCAAACCTACTGACAGCTGGCAACCGAACCTTCCCGAACCTAGAGCAGCTCTCGTCTTTCCTTAGCACCGAAGGAATTCCCCTCTTTAGGCCTCTTTCTAATTCCTTTCTCCCTGTTATTTCTTGAAATGTCCGTTTTGCCCTTTTTAACTAGTTTCCTCCATCTTTTTCTTCCATCTTACCAATGCTTTTTTTTTTACGAAGTATATTTTAATAGAAATAATATGTTTTTTAAAATTTTTTGAAAGGTCTGTAATTTGTTCTTGAATTCAGTATGCTAAAATGAGGTAAATTAAAGTTTCAATCAATTGTTCCAAAATTATGCAAATATTTATTCTAGAAATAACACAGATCCTTGTATATCAATACATATTGACAAAAAGATTTAATTTCCATCAGTCAATATTAGATATTCATTGCTGAAATAACATCCATCAAAACTGTTATGTTTGTACGACAAAGCTTTCACGTGAGATAGTCCTAGTTGTCATGAGCTGAAATTGACTCTCTTTCAAATATATATGATTTTTGCTAAACGTGTGACTTATCCCTCTAGTCTTTCAAAGTATTGTTGCCAAACAAGATTTTTTTTTAAAAAAAAAAACACAGGTACGACTTTGCGTGATCTATCTAAAAAAACGGTGCTCATAATTATCATGAAGGGTTCAAATTGTGGCATAAACATTAAAAAAATAGCTCCATAATGTTTTTGCTTCTAGATAAGGCTTCAGTGGCAACAATCCGATGCTTAGCTAGTATCATACTTGTAGGGTACTGAATTTCATGGCTAATGAACAAGCAACACGTGGACATCTGCAGTGTGTTCATTGTCTTGCATGTTCGCCACGTGTAAAGATATCATGAACCAATCTTGTCCCTTGGGTGCGGTGCGCGATATGTTGCCTATGATGTCGTCACCAATGACCTTGGCAAGAGAGAAACCTATGGAAAAGCCGACGAGTCACTCGAAATGGCCAAGGGTTCCGCGTTTTATAGGAAAAGTGAAATTGCGGCTCATAACGTGGGAGCTTACGCACCTTGTTTGCTGTGTCTCCCTCTTTCCAAGCACCACAACATAGAGTAAATTACCACTCACTCTGTTAAAAAAAAAAAATTGTTTTTTTAAATTTATATCTGTTTTAAAATATTTTCATTTTTAAAAATTTTGATAAAGTGTTATTTTTATAATGTAAAATTAAATTAGATAGATTTTTTTCTTAAATAAAAATATTTTAGAAAAATATTGTTAAAAAAATACTGTAATTAACATTACAATTACTAAATTTTTTAAACTACGTGAAAAATTAAAAAAAGACTATCAACAAAGAAAACATTAAATAACATTAATCCACGTTTAATTACCAATTTTTTTTCACACATAGGCTATCAATCATTCAAATTCCGACCTGTAAACGTATGTTCAAATCTGATTTATTTGATAAATGACTAAAGAATTATTATATGGCTTCAGTTTTTTAAATAATTATTTTATTAATATGAAAAAAAATCAAAGTTTGTACTCAATTTGTTTAATATGAGATAAAATATATGATATGTTGATCGGTTTTTTTTTAAAAAAAATATTTTTATACAAAAAAATAAATGTTTAAACTTGAGATCTTTTTTTTTTTTTTAAAAAAAAAGACACTAATGACAATTGAGTTATGCTTTTTAAAAAAAATTAAATATGAAGACTCCAAACTTTGTGGATAAAATTAATATACTTTAAACTACTGTACGTATTAAGGAAGCTTCAAATATATACATAAAAAAGTATACTTTGAGCAAGCTTCCATTTAATTATACATAGCATACAAATGTTTTTTTGAATTTTGAATCTATGAAAACTAAAATGTGTATTGAGAACTTGCAGTCATAGCAATTAATTTCTACACGACATTGCTGAATTTGAAGTTAATGTACAAGGGACTTATCTGGTATGAGCAACAGAGACTTGAACAGTATTGTATAAGAATAGAAAAATATATTTTCATTTCAATATAGGTAGCGCATTGACCGTGGCCAAATGTAGACTGTAGTAGCATACGTAATGATATCGCCCAGAGCGACTTGTCCATGCGTGTTGCCTGAAAACGAGGTCCCTAATTGGCTATTTTTCCAATCAAAAGTTCTTAATCATGTCTGTTACTTTATTTATTCTGCTATTCTGAAAAATTAAAGTAATTCCTTGCTAATTATCAGATGCTTCGAGAAAACACTGTTGTTATAACTTGTTAACTGTCTATTGTTTTAGCCATCCAGTGTTGGCAAACTCTTGCAAGCCATATTCTGTAACTAGCAGTTAGGGGTAATTGTTTGTTATAAATACTTCACATGTGTATTTATCTTTTCTTAAAACAAATACAAAAAACTCTCTTAATTTGTCCAAAACAATGCCACCATCCTCCCGCGTGAAGAAAAAAAATCCTATATATTTTTTCTTAATCGAATGTATGAACTTAATTTTTTCTTATTCATGCCTTTTTTATTAAATTATAATTTTGTTATTTTTTTTCTTAAAGGAGTACATGAATTTTAATTTTTTCAATTCTATCAATCAAATATTTTTATCGATTTTTTCATTGATTATTGACATGTCTAAACATCGAATTATATTTTTTTTCATCTTTTGTTGTAAGAAACTTTTTCCTTAAATTATTCTATCATTTTAAAATTTAACAAAGAATTAAAAAAATATTTTTTGTTATAAAATCATGAACTAAACTTAATAAGATTTGCTGTTAAAAAAAATTAATTAGGTTTTGGACGAAAAAATTGAAGAAAACACAAATGTGAGATTTTTCATCGAAAAGATTCGTTTATGTTTTTCTTTAATTTTTACTTTTAAACCTAACCGAGTTCTTTTTCTTAACGACAATCTAATTGAATTTAGTTTGAAACTTTAGAGATAAAAAATTATTTTTTTAATTATTTATTAAATTATAAAATAGTCAAATAATTCGAGAAAAAGTTTCTTTTAACAAAAAAAGAGTATAATTATAATTTCATATTCGAATATGTCACCAATTAACAAAAAAAATGATGGAAGTATTTAATTGATAGTTTTGAAAAAATTGATATGCTCAAACGGAAAAAAAAAACTAAAATTCATGTATTCAATTAAGAAAAATGATAAAATTATAGTTTGGTATTTTAAAGGTACCAAAAACATCATCGATTAACAAAAAAATTAATAGAAATATTTAATTGATAATTTTGAAAAAAAAATTGATATACTTAAATAAAAAAATTAAAATTTATATATTTAATTAAAAAAATTAAAAATTAATATATTTATAATGTAATTATTTCTACATGGAATGTAAAATATCCCAAAGGTCCTGTATTGCCTCCGAGGCTCCAGGACGCTTATTTTGTAGCTGCTATGTGCTTTCATACGGATTGAATGTTTACGCTCTCCAAGACCTGGAGGTAGGTGTCATGATACGCCCCGTTAACGAGCTTTAGGCAAGACTGCAGAATTGGGCTTCGGCAGCAGGTGGAGGCATGAAATTATATTAAAGTAGCCTGAGTTAGTCTTGTGGGTCACCATAGTTAAACAAAAGCCTGGTAGCTATCAGCTTAAGCCCAAGCAGCAACAAAATTTAACACTACCGTTCTTTTCTTTTTTTGATAAACGAACTACTTTCATATGTCTGTCCTTTCCTCGTTCCATATTTGCCATTCTTACACCATGACACAATTCTTTTGAAACAATAACGTGTTTTTGGAAGACCATCGCAATCTGGTTTCTGATGTGGAGGCTATTGATAGGCAGTCCTATACTTAATAGTCTTCGAATCTAACTCGTTGAACTTGTTAGCAGGCCATCCTCTCTCTAACCTTGTAACAATTCAGCGTTTCTCAAATAACTCAAAA